TGCTGGGGCAGCTGGCTGCCATGGGCTCCACTGTGCTGCGTGGGGCTGGGAGAAAGGGGTGCTGCTGCATGGTGACAGCTGCGCTGTGCGAAGGGGGCACTGACCGCTGCTTTCCTGCAGGTCGCTGGTATGTGCAGCCCCTCACCTACCGCCTGGAGGGCCAGCCCGAGGCCGAGCACCTCCTCAGAGCCACTGTGGTCTACCTGCCCAGTCTGTCACTGGCCCATGGTCGCCTTCTCTGCGCTCTGGAGCTGGTGGCAGCCGGCGAGGCACCTGGGGTGCTGCTCAGCCCTGCTGCCCGTCCCCGCCATGGCTGGGCTGAAGTTGACGTCACCCCTTACCTGGTCCTGGGGAACAGCAGCATGAGGAGCCTGGCACTGCGGCATGTCTGTGTGCATGCTGGCCGAGCAGGAGGCCACGATGCCCCAGTGTCCCCCAGTCACCCTTTCCTCCTGCTCTACCTTAACGACACCCAGGCAGGGTTGGCATCTCTGGCAGCAGAGCCCCACCGGCACCGGCGTGACACAGGGACGTTGGCTCATGACCTGCCCAACTACCTGCGGGAGCAGGGAGAGGAGAAGAGTGACTGTTCCCTGCGCCCCTTCTCTGTCAGCTTTGCACAGCTGGGCTGGGACCACTGGATCATCGCTCCCCACCGCTACAACCCGCGCTACTGCAAGGGCGCCTGTCCCCACCTACTCCGCTACGACTACCACGCGCCCAACCACGCTGTGGTGCAGAGCTTTGTTCATCAGCTGGTGGATGCCAATGTGCCCCGGCCCTCCTGTGTGCCCTACCGCTACAGCCCCATCAGTGTCCTCATGATCGAGCGCAACGGAGGCATCCTCTACAAGGAGTATGAGAACATGATCGCAGAGTCCTGCACCTGCCGGTAATTCCCACTGCCCCGGCACAGCACCCCTGGGCTCTGCCTGTTCCTGTGCATCTGGACTTTAAGGTTTATCTTGCTCTGCCTGGGGCTCACTCTGCTCGTCTCCCCTCCCTGCGCAGCGCTGCTCTGTGGGGAGGTTTTACAATGACAGTTTTATGTAAATTGTGGGTTTTTAAAGGCAGGAGCCTGTGCTGGGGTGGTTGCCCCGTGGCATCTGTCCTTCCTGCAGCCCCCATGGCTGCTGCCTGGTTTTGGTGGGCAGGGGGGCTTGGCCTGATATTCCCAGAGATGAGCTGTGTCCCTGAACTGGAATACGAAGCTCACAGGAGGTGGCTGGGAGTCTCCTGGTGGAGCCAGGGCAGGGAGGGCGAGCAGTCCATGTGCCTCTGTGCTTGGCACCACATTGGTGCTGTCGGGATCTGATGTGATCCTGCCTGTGGAATTCCTTCCCAGCTCACGTGCACCCCATCTTGTCTGGTCTCAGCTGCAGTGGCATCTCACTGGGCTGGGAATTTGGGCTGGAGAGGGGGAGGAAGCCTTTCTCCTCCCCTGCAGTTCTGTTCTGGGGAGGGCTGTGAAACTGGAGGAACTTGAGCTGCCTTTTCTGCTCCCAGTGCTAGGGGCCAGGTAGCTGCCTGTGCTAGGCTCTGCCTTCCTGCTTCCTCCAACACACTTGTCCTTCAGCTCCTTGGCTTGCCCTCTAGCAGGGCTCAGGTCTTGCCCTATCCTAGGGGTCAGACTCCCATCGTGGTGTCCCTCTGCCTTCTCGCACTCCTGCTGTCCCACAGGCCTTGGGCTCTGTTGGGCTTCTGGCATGTCCCTGTTCCCAGAAGAGTCTGTCCTGCTCTCAGCACCTCCACTGCCTGACTTTCCTCTATTTATTGCTTGACTGTGAATAAATAAATTGATGGATTTTGCTAAAGACCATCTTGGCTTGTTCTTGCATTGTCCCTTGGGTGCAGCGGGTGCCTCCTGGGACAGACTGCCCTTGTGCTTGCACTACAGGGGGTGGGTGCAGGGGTAAATCCCAGCTGGTTCAAGCTGGAGCTGTGAGAAGTGGCTCCCCTGGAGCACAGACCCATCCCAGGGCAGAAGGGACCAGATGTGGCTGCAGGCAGCTGTCTCCATGGGGCTGGGAACAAGAGATGCCCACATCCCCCTGTATGGGGCAAGTCCTGGGGGACTTGGATGGGGTGGGGGGGGATACAATAAGCTGCATCTCCCTGGGCTGTCTGTTGCTGTGGCTAAAGCATTTGTATGCCAGGGCTATTTTGGGAAGGTGTCTGCAGGCAAACCTGCCTGTTGCTGGGTGTGATTCCCTGTGTTTGCAGTTTCCCTTCTTTGAGCAGCAAGGCATAGGTGGCAGCTGTCATCCTTGTCACCAGAGCTTGGTGGCACTGCCACCTACCAGCTGGGTGCTGTCTCTGCATCCTCAGCTCGTGGCTCTTGCCAGGGTCTCTTGTTACTTGGCATCCAGCCCCATCTGTTATTGCTGGCCCAAGCTCCATGGGGATGTTTCAGCAGGTTTTTTTTCCTGTGGGTGTTTGCTGTCGGGCAGGGTGCTATCAGTTCAAACCCCTCCCCTTCCCGTCAGCCTTGAAGTTTCTCTCCCATCCTGGCAGAGCAAGAAGCCACAGAGATCCACACTCCTTTCCTGCCCCTGTCCCCAGTTAGCTACATATTGGTCATGGGTGGGGAATATCTTCTGCTTTTTTGGAAGCTCACAGACCTGACCCCAGGGGGATAGATTTCCCCTTGTCAATCATTAAGTGTGTGGTGTTGAATCATTCAGGCAAAGTGAGGATGAAAGGCATGGAGCTGGGCATGATCCCAACCCTGGACACCCTTGGATACCAGTGCCCAGTGCTGCCCCTGCCTGGGACCCATACCCTTGCCTGCTGCCAGGCTCCCTTGGGTGCATGGAGATGGATGAGCACTGGAGTTTGTCTGTCCCAGCCCTGTGCCCTCAGATGCACTGTGCCAATGGGATCTTGTGCCTGTTGGGCTGGGCCCTTTCTCCAGGTACCCCCGGGTGCCCAGAGGCTGCTCCAGCAGTGGGATCTCCTCTGTGCTGGTGGTGGGGCAGGTGCTGTCACAGGGATGGAGGAGCAGCAGTTCAGGAAAGAGCCACTACCCCCAGCTGACCCTGGCGCTGTGCCCACGACAGTGCCAGGGCTGTCAGGGCAGAGGCAGGTGGAGGGTGCAGGGACCCTGGCCTGCTATCCTCGTGCACCTTTCAGGGGGAATCTTCCTGCGGATCCCACAGCCATGTGAGCCCCTTGGACACAGCCTGGCATCCCATCAATGCCAGACCTGTGGGAAGCATCAGGAGTCCTGGCTTTGGGGACACACCCAACCCACCCTCAGGCAGGGGTCTTGCCTGTGGAGCTGCTGCCTGCACAGGGGGCTGCAGTGGCCCCTTGCTCTCCTCCAGGCTAGCCAATATATCCCTGTCCCCTTCTTCCCTGATCTTCCCTGATCCCCTACCCCAAACCCCACACTGGGACTTTGCTCTGTTTCCACAGGGTACCCATTCACTATTCCTCCTGCTGCCCCTCCCAAGTGGGCACGATCACCTCACACCCATCATCCTCTGGGCTGACATTGGACAGAGAGGGGACCTGCCCCATGTGCTCTTGCAGGGCTGGGGCAAATCTGGGCCAGGCACGGCAAGAGGGCACCAGGATGGAGCTCCCCCAGCTGTGGAGAGCAGCTGCCCCCCAGGAACCCTACTGGGGTCTGTAGCCGGAGGTAAACAGTGATGCCCAGGCTCCAGACGCCCTGCAGGTACGCCGCAGAGCTGCTGGCAGCCCCCAGCTGGGGTGGGGGGTAACAAGGGACCGTGTCTCCATCCGTGTGTCCATATGGTCCTGCACCAGTGCGTGTGTCCGTCTGGGTGTCTGTGCAGTTCCACACCGGTCCATGTGTCCACTCCACACTGGCACACATGTGCGTGAATCCACGTGTCCATGTGTCTGTCCAGGTATCCATGTGTTTGTGTATCCGCGTGTCTGTGTGTCCATATATTTGCGTGTCTGTGTATCCATGTGTCTGCATATCTGTGTGTCCATCCGTGTATCTGCATATCTGTGTGTCTGCATGTCTGTCCATGTATTTATGTGTCCATCCATCTGTCCGTGTATCCGCATATCCATCTGCCCGGGTGTCTGTGCATCTGTGTGTCTGTCCATGTATCTATGTGTCTATGTATCTGCATGTCCCCATGTCCGTGTGTCCCCATATCTGCATGTCCATGTATCTGCGTCCTCATGTCCATCTCTGTATCTGCATGTCCACGTGTCCGTGTATCCTAGTGTCTGTGTCCATGCATCCGTGTGACTGGGCATCCATGTGTCCGCCTGTCTGTCCGTGTACCTGCACGTCTATGTGTCTGCGTATCCTTGTGTGTCCGTGTGTGTCTATGTGCCTGTGTGTCCGCATGTCCATGTGTCCGTGTATCCATGTATCCGTGTGTCCACATGTCCATGTGTCCGTGTATCCATGTATCCGTGTGTCCGCATGTCCGTGTGTCCGTGTATCCATGTATCCGTGTGTCCGCATGTCCATGTGTCCGTGTATCCATGTATCCGTGTGTCTGCATGTCCATGTGTCCGTGTATCCATGTATCCGTGTGTCTGCATGTTCGTGTGTCCGTGTATCCATGTGTCCGTGTATCCATGTATCCGTGTGTCCGCATGTCCATGTGTCCACGTATCCGCGTGTCCCCTTTCCGTCTGTGTATTCGTATGTCCGTGTGTCCGTGTGTCCCCGAGTCCGTGTCCCCGAGTGTCCCCGTGTCCGCCCGCAGCGCTGCTCGCCCTCCGCCCGGCAGGGGGCGGTGCCGGTGCGGTGCCGGTGCGGTGCCGGTGCGGTGCCGGTGCGGTGCCGGTGCGGTGCCGGTGCGGTGCCGGCGGTGCCGCCATGGCGGCGGGTCCTGCCCGCTCCGTAGTGAGCGCCCCGCGGGCCGAGGCCGCCGCGGGCGGGGAGCGGGGGCAGCGCGGGCGGAGCGGCCGCTCTCGGGGCGCGGCGGTGCTCGGGCAGCGCTGCGGGCGGCAGCGAGCGGGCGGTGCCGCGGGGCGGAGCGGGGCGGAGCGGGGCGGGGCGCTGCCAGGACTCGTCCCGCCCCGTCCCGTCCCGGCAGTGCCGGTGCCGGTGCCGGCGCCGCCGCCGCCATCGCCATGAGGAGCCGGAGCAACTCGGGCGTGCGCCTGGACGGCTATGGGCGCCTGGTGCAGCAGACCATCCTCTGCCACCAGGTGCGGGCACTGCCGGGAGCGGGGGGCGAGCCCGCGGGGGAGCCCGGGCCGGGGAGTGACCTGGGAACGGTGTGTCCCCTCCGCAGGACGCGGTGACGGGGCTACTCCCCGCCAGCGGCGACCACCGGGACGCCTGGGTCCGGGACAACGTGTACAGCATCCTGGCGGTCTGGGGGCTCGGCCTGGCCTACCGCAAGAATGCCGACCGCGACGAGGACAAGGCCAAGGCCTACGAGTTGGAGCAGGTCGGAGGGAGCAGGGCCCGGGCGGGGCTGGGGGCACCCGGAGGCTGCCGCCACTTCGGGCGGGTCAGCCTTTGGCACAGCCGGGCCAGGGGCCCGAAAACCGCGGGGGGCCGTGCAGTGAGGGTGAGGACAGGGCTGTCCCCCGGCGCAGGAGGTGATAGGAAGGGATGTCAGAGCCTGCTCTTCCCGGGGCACCCTGGAGCCCAGCCAGAGGGTCCGTCCCTCTGGCTCCGGGGTGATCTGGGGCCATAGCCCTTCTCCCAGGGGCTGGGGAGTCGTGTCCTGCAGCTGTGCCCTCTGTCCCGCTGCACAGCACAGCAGCTCGGCCCCGCTGGCAGGCCAAGAAATCTTCCCTCTGCTGTTGCCCTGGGAGCAGAGGCTGTAGAAATGTGAGCTGGAGCTCCGATTACAGGCACCGAGCCCTGCAAAGGTCATCGGCCAGCTGAGCCTGAGTCAGGGCTTCTGGCGATTAACAGGGCTGTTTTCCTTGTTCCTGCAGAGCGTGGTGAAGCTGATGCGGGGACTGCTCCAGTGCATGATGAGACAGGTAGGGTCTGGGGAGCACCTCTGGGTGTAAAGTGGTTTCCTTAAAGCCCGGCTGTGCCACAGAGACTGTCAGTCCTGACTGTACCAGCTCTCCCCAGCCTCCCCTTCCAGCAAGTCTTGAAATAAGTTCTGAGTGAGCAGCTGTGATTGAAGTTCCAGTGCTGTGGGCTGGTAGCCAGTGGAGCCTTTGCCAGCTGCTGCCTGTCTCATGGCCTGGCTGGCGGTAGGACTCTGCAGCTCTCCTTCCTGAGGGCATTTGGGGTGACCCTTTTTCTCTGCGTGGTGCAGCTGTGGCATGGGCCCTCCACAGCTGCAGCCCTGCACTGCAGTGGCCTGTGAGCCACTCACTGCCTTGGTGAGCAGAGGGGCAGCCCAGTGGCTGTGGAATTTCTGCCCTGCCAGGCATGGCTCCACATGCTGGGCTCATGGCACGAGGCAGCCCTTGGCTTGGGAGATGTCAGACCTGTCTGGAGACAGGGTTCTATGAACTCCTGCATCCTTTTGCCCTTCTCAAGATGGACAAGGTGGAGGCCTTCAAGTACAGCCAGAGCACCAAGGACTGCCTGCATGCCAAGTATAACACCCAGACCTGTGCCACCGTGGTGGGAGACAACGAGTGGGGTCACCTACAGCTGGATGCCACCTCCCTTTACCTGCTCATGCTGGCGCAAATGACGGCCTCAGGTAATGCTGTTGGGGGCTGCCATCTCAGCTTTGAGCGTGCTGGTCTCCGGGCTCTCTAGAGTCTCAGTTTGGGTGCAGCTTCCTGGGTGCCAAGCTGCTGCAATGGCTTCCCTGACTCCACTGTTTTCTTATGCTCACAGCACCTGTGGTGGGTTTGGGCCCCTTGATGTCCATTTGTCTGAAACCCCAGTGCAGCCATAGCGGGTGGGATTGGAGATGGGAGTCAGCCAGGACATGGCTCCCATCAGGCAGGCATGCAGTGTGGAGGAGGGGTCCCTGGGTTACTGCAGCCCCATCCCGGGAGTACCTGTGGGCTTGGAGTGGCTGATGTGAATTCTTCCCCCTGCTCCAGGCCTCCACATAATTCACAGCTTGGATGAAGTCAACTTTATCCAGAACCTCGTGTTTTACATTGAAGCCGCCTACAAGACCGCGGTGGGTAGTGCATGCTGGGGAAGGGGAGCATGCTCTGGTGCTGGAGGTGTTGGGTTGGTGTCCAGGGGCAGCTGTGGGTCCCCCCTGAGCCCCACCGGCACCTCCTGGAAGCACTGCTGATGAGTGGGATTCAAAGGCTTTCTGGCTGTGTTGTGAACCAGTGCCTGCTGCCTCTGCACAGGACTTCGGGATTTGGGAGCGTGGGGACAAGACAAACCAGGGCATCACCGAGTTGAATGCCAGCTCTGTTGGCATGGCCAAGGTGAGCTGGGGAGAAGTGCTGGCTGGGGGTGGAGAGCACCAATGGCCCTGAGCTGCTTTTTGACAGGGCAGGCTTGGCATGTTGAACTATTGAGGCTCAATGCCCCATGCAGTCATAGGTTCCTGGAGAGGAAGACCCTTCTCCTTATGCACTGGGATAAAACTGTGCCCCTTTAGCCTGAGTTTTGCCTGAAATGGGAGTGAAGAGTTAATTGGTGTGGGTGGCAGAAATGTCCAGGGCCCTGTTGATGTCTGGCTACCCATGGCTTTGGGGATGTGGTCCCATTTTGACCAGAGGTGTTCTGCAGCCACAGCTCTCAGGGTTCAAATTATTTTAAATTTGGGCAGTGCATTACACACAGGGACTGGCATGGGGTGAGAGCTCTTATAGATGGGCAGCATGGTGGAGGACGTGCTTCTTTGAGTCTGCTTGCAGGCTGCCCTGGAGGCACTGGATGAGCTGGATCTCTTTGGAGCCAAGGGAGGCCCGGAGTCAGTGATACGGGTGCTGTCAGATGAGGTGCAGCACTGCCAGGTGAGACCCCTGGGGCCGTGACACCACTGCAGGAGGAACTGTGATCTGCTGGGGCTGTGGTGTGAACGATGCCTGGCCTGGCAACCTAACCACCCCTCATTCTCCTCTGCCCAGTCCATCCTTCACTCAATGCTGCCCAGGGCCTCCACATCCAAGGAGGTGGATGCCAGCGTGCTCTCTGTCATCTCCTACCCAGCATTTGCTGTGGAGGACAGCGAGCTGGTGGAAATCACCAAGCAGGAGATCATCACGAAGCTGCAGGTGAGTGGCTCTGCCCTCATCTCACTATTCCCAGGGGACAGCTGCAGTCCAAACTGTTGTAGCCCTTTTCTTCCCAAAAACATCCTTGGGGAGGGAGTGCTGGATGATGTCCTCTCCCAGTCTCCATGTGCAAAGAGGCAGCCCTGTGTCATGTGGCCCTGGGTTGTGATTGTGGTGCCTGAGCGCTGGGTGAGCAAGAGAGGGGGTGTTTGGCTGGAGGAGACACCCCATCCCTGCTCCTGCATTGAAGGTACGAGATGCCTCACGCTGTGCCTCCTGCTTGGCATCTCTTTCCTCCCTTCCAGGGACGCTATGGCTGCTGCCGCTTCCTCCGGGATGGATACAGGACCCCCAAAGAGGTGAGTGTCCCTAGCCCTGCCAGCAGCAGCCCCCTGCATGCAGCACAAAGGCTGTGTTGGGGAGCGCTGGGAAGACAAGAGCCCTCACTAACCCCAGGCAGTGTCATGGGTCTGGGCAAGGCTTCCCAAAGTGCCAGAGCTCATTGCAGAGGTGGTGCGTTCCACCCATGCCCATAGCAGATGGCCAGAGGCTGGCTCTGCCTCTGTCCTGGGACCTTGTGGTGTGTCTCCCTTGGGCTGGGGGAAGGTGGGACCAGTGCCCTGCATGGGAGCCCTGATGAGGTGGGCTCTCCCAGAGCTAGGGCTGGAGGCCTGGGGAGGTGACCACACAGAGCTCCTCATCTGCTTCAGCTCCAAAGGTCACAAAGCTGCTTCTGCCTCTCCCAGGCCAGCAGGCAGCTTGGGTACTGCCATAGTGTCTCTCAGGATAGTTTCCGCTGCTGCTCAAGGGAGGGAAAACCAGAAAACCTTATAAGCAACAATCTCATTTGATAACTACTGAACTAGGAAATGGTACCTGAAGGCTCTTAAATCATCACCAGCTTCTGGGCCCATAACCTGATGGGGCTTCTTTGGGCACAAGTGCCTCTGAATGCTTCTTGGCTCTGCCTCTGCAGACCTGCCCATAATAGGCAGTGTGTGTGGCTTCCCCCTTCCAGAGCCAAAGAAAAGCAGCAACATCTCCAGTCCAACGTTCCCAACACTTGTGAGCTTTGCCAGTGTGCCGAGCCGTGGATTACTTCTGGAGATCTGTGAGGCACAGGAAGGGCAGCAGTGCCTGCAGGGGCATGCAGCTGCCTGTAGTCAGATGGGACTTAGGGAGCTTGTAGCTGGAATGCAGGCACTGTAGAAAACATCTGTTCCTTCTGTCCTCTCTGCCTAACAGTCTGCTAAGGCCAGCACTCTTCCTTCTGTGCAGCAAACAGAGTTAGAGCAGTTAGCAGGGAGGGTCGAGCATAGGTACACCACACACAGCTGCACTGGACTGGCAGATCTCCATCCTGACAACTTCCCTTGTGTCAGCTGCACTACATGGCAGGAGGGACTCTGCTCTCTGGCCCTGCATGACCAGCCCAAGCCTTTGCACCTGGCTGGGCCAGCTTGATGATGCTGGAGGAGGCAGATGCTGAGGGGCTGGGGCAGAGCAGGCAAGGCAAAGGGGACCCAGTGTGGCACAGGGGATGTTGTGCTGTTACTGTACAACAGCACAGTGTCTGGGGTGTTCTGGGGGCTCTGGGGTGCTCTCCTGGGGACTGGGTAGACTCCAGGAAGGGCAAGTCTCTTCATCATCAGTGCAGGGGGCTTGGGAGGGGGGTGTCTGATGGGGAGAACAGAGGCTGGAGGTGAAAATGCTTCTCTGCTCTGTCTTGGCCATCGTCTGCAGAGGAGGAGTGGGAGGGCATTTGAGGCCGGGGGCTTGGCGGGAGGAGGAGCCCTGTCAGTTTGAGGGGATCCTGCCATCCACTGTCTGCCTTGCTGTCACCTACAGGACCCCAAACGCCTCTACTATGAACCCGCTGAGCTGAAGCTGTTTGAGAACATCGAGTGCGAGTGGCCTCTCTTCTGGGCATACTTGATGATTGATGGGATTTTCAATGGAAACATAGAGCAGGTAAGGGGGGCAGAACCTGCTGGGGTGGTGGGAAAAAAGTCCCTGGCAGGCAAGGTGTGCAGGGGAAGGATGCAGGGAGCCATGACCAGGAGCAGATTCTCTCTCCTCTCTCCTCAGGTGCAGGAGTACCGGGAAGCCCTTGAGGGGGTTCTCATCAAGGGGAAGAATGGGATACGCCTGATGCCAGAGCTGTACAGTGTCCCCCTGGATAAGGTGAGCGATCCTGAGCCGTGGTGGAAAGAGGGAGTGTCTCACAGAATCACAGAATATTCTGAGTTGGAAGGGAGTCACAAAGTCCAACTGCTGAAACTCCTGATATCATTACCAGATAATTAGGTTTTAAATGCTTATTAACCCAAAATGTTAGCAAAGTGGCACATACAGTGCATGGAAAGCTCGTGTATAAAAAGTGAGGCTTGGAGCTGTTATAAAACCATGTTGGTGTTTTTCCCCCAAAGGCTGGTGTTTTTCCCCCAAAGCATTTCTTACCCCCATACACAAGGGTGCTTTGCTGACAGTCTGCTCACTCAGAAGCTGAGTGCTCTGAGAGCTCAGGACAAGTGGGCCTGGGCTGAGGAGATGGTGCTGAGCTCCTGTTCAGTGGTGTGGGGTTGAGAGCAGCGGCCTCCTGGTGCCCAGGTCATGCAGGAGAGGTGCTCTCCTCACCAGCATTCGAGAACATCTCCCCAGTGTTCCTGGGGCACGTTAGTCCTTCTAATGGCCTGAGTTGGGAAACCAAACATGGTCTGAGCAGCTGATTTGTTGTCTGATGTGGATGTCTGGGGCAGTCACAAGAAGAGGGGAGGAATGTAGCCAGGCTGTTTTGGACCCTCTCTTGACAAATGCTGTTGTAGGCTCTTGTTTCAAGCCTTGAACTGCTGGACTTCAAAATACAGTGAAGATGCTTCCTTCAGCATCCTGTGTCTGTGGATCCCTCCTTAACCTCCTGGCTTGTCTTCCAGGTGGATGAGGAGTACAGGAACCCCCACACTGTGGACAGAATACCCATGGGCAAGCTGCCGCACATGTGGGGGCAGTCCCTCTACATCCTGGGCTGCCTGATGGCTGAGGTACAGTCATCCTGGGTGCTGGGGAGGGCTGTGGGGCCAAGCTCTGAACTCTCAAGGGGCAAATGCTGCCACCTGCCTTGGGGAAGTTGCTACTCCCATCCCCCAGGACTTCTTAAAGGTGGGTTGTCCATAGGCATCACCCATTCTATGCTGCCCACAAAACGTTAATCTCCTCATACCATCTTTTCCCCAGGGGTTTCTGGCTCCTGGTGAAATAGATCCCCTCAACCGCCGTTTTGCGACTGTCCCTAAGCCTGATGTGGTGGTTCAAGGTGAGGGAAAGGAATACTAGTCCCATACCTCTGAGCCTGGCAGGTCTGGGGACTCTGGCAGTGCAGAATTCACAGGGGTGGCTCTGGGTGGCTCTGCTTGCTGCATTGCTGCTGGTACCTCCCAATCTCAGACCTGGCAAGGGGGGTGGAAGATGGGGTGCAAGTCCTTCCATTCCACTCTGTGTTGACTGAGGGAAATAACAGCTGCTGTAGCAGAGAGGTTGAAAACTGTCTTCCTGCCACTTGGTGCAGAACACTTGGGTGTAGAGAGTGTTAGGAGGGGCAAGGCAGACCTCTGCAGTGGGAACTGGTTCCCAAAGGGACCCCTTGACAGCTGCCTCTCTGTGGTGTGGCACCTTGTATGTGTCCTCAAAGGCATGGGGCAGTGCTGTCACACCCTTGTGCCCCTGTTGCACTGAGCTTGTCCTCCTTCCACAGTGTGCATCCTGGCTGAGACAGAGGAGATCAAGGAAATCCTGAAGAAGGAGGGCATTGACGTGGAGACTGTGGAAGATGTCTACCCCATCAGAGTGCAGCCTGCCCGCATCCTCAGCCACATCTATGCCCGGCTGGGTGAGCTGGACTCCCTGCTACTGCAGCAAAGGGGGTGCAGAAGGGTCTGTCCCACCCCCTGGCACTCCTGCTCATAGACACTCATGTCCTGCTCTCTGCCTGGCTGATGAGGTTTCTGCTGCCCATTTCTGAGCCCAGTAAAGCTACTCGTGCCCAAGGGAAACAAGGTGACAGGCAGTGTTGTTCAGGGTTATTCTGACAGGGATAGAGCTTTGGCATTGCAGTTGCACAGCCACCCCAGGGACAGACAGACTTTGATCCGTATAGGAAGGACCTGGTGTGTACAGGAGTTGGCTTTTGTTCCTGTACCTGTTCCAGATCTCGATGGGGAAGGCCAGCCAGACCTCAGGAACGGTCCCCTGGCTGTCCCTGGTGGAGAGAGCCTGGCAGAATGGCTGTTGTTGGGGGGTGGGCAGGGCTGAGTGTGAGGAGAGGGTGTGCTCAGCTCTGCACGCATGTTCCCTGATGCTGCAACCCCTTGGGCATCAGCCTTGTTGTGCAGGAGCCAGAGATCTAGCCTGGGCCATAGGAGACACCTGATCTGCTGTGATTTTAATTTGGTGGCTAATTTAGGCCACCAAAATGCCAAGTGTGAGATGGGCAGGGGGAACAGCCTGGCAGCTGTCAGGGCTGACACGAGCAAGGGGCGATGCTGCGCTGCGCCATTCTGGGCTCTGGGAGTAATCTGTGAGCAATGGGAATGCTGATAGAGCTGTCAGCTTTGGGGGACCAGCCCTATGCAGAGGAATACCCCCAGCCCTGTTCCAACTTCTGACATTCCCAAAAACCTGGAGGTGTGACACGTTGCAGAAGTCAGGACAGGCTGTGTGTCCCTGTTTCAGCATGTCTCTAGCCCCCTGGGCAGGGCTGGGGACAGAGTATCACTGTCACTTAGAGCTGTACTAGCTTGACACAGGGTCCTGGGGTATCCCACCCACAAACCAGCATTTTCCTGCTGGCTAGTAGCAAGAGGCCTGGCACTGCTTGGTGCTGCAGCCCCTTTAATTAGGAGGCTTGCACTAAAAACTCCTCTTCCTGCCCTCCCAGGCCGCAACAAGCAGATGAGCCTGACTGGACGGCCCTACCGGCACATGGGTGTCATTGGGACCTCCAAGCTCTACAAAATCAGGAAGAGCATCTTTACCTTTACCCCACAGGTGGGTGACATTGCATGGGCTCATTCCCAGCTGTTATGTGATCTGGAACTGGGCAAGAAGTTTCTCCACTGGCTGAGTGCTCGGGTTATTCTCAGATGTGGCCCAACACCCTCTGGGAGTGTGAAGCAGCCCCAGCACTGTGGCGTGAGGCAGCCCAGTTGCTGGTTCTGGCTGTGTGCATGCTGGGAGAGGTGGTTTGAGCCTTCTGATGATCAGTATTGGGTGAAAATCTCTTTGCTCACCCTGACAAGGACACCAGGAGGAGGCCTGGATGCTGCTGCTGAGCTGTGGCATTAGTTATCTCCTCACAGTTGCTAATGGCCAGTAACTGCCCTAGAAGTTGAGGGTCCCTTACTAGACTGTACTGGCATCTGCCAAGTAAGGTGGTATGAGCTGTCAGTGCAAAGGAGCATGTCCTCTGGGTGCACAGCGTGTCTGGCCTGGCTGAATGCCTGTGGGAAGATGTGAGTGGCACCATAGGGACCTGGTGGCTGTACAAAGGGCCGCTCATGTCTCCTGCTGTCCTCACAGTTCATAGACCAGCAGCAGTTCTACCTGGCTCTTGACAACAAGATGATTGTGGAGATGCTGAGGACGGACCTCTCCTATCTCTGCAGCCGCTGGAGAATGACTGGGCAACCAACCATCACCTTCCCCGTCTCCCACATCATGCTCGGTATGGATCCTCCAGCCTGGCAAGGTGTTTGGCTAGAGCAGCCCTGGGAAGCAGCCTCTGCAGGAGGAAGGGGGTGGGCAGATCTGTGACTGCCTCAGTAATAGGGGGGACATGGTGGGGCTGGAGCAGCCAGTAGTGTTCTGTGAAGAGCTTACCACTGAGAAGAGCCACGCCAAGTGGGCAGTTTGCCTGGCAGCTGGTGGGTTTGCCTGCCAGGCACTAGTGCCTGCTGCTCAATGGCTCCTGACAACCTGGCTTGTGGGAAGGCCTTTTGGGAGCAAGACCAAAAAAACAGTTCCCCTGTAGGAGTGTTCCTGGGGCTCTTTCTGCATCTTGACTCTTCACTAAGACTGACCACCTGCTAAAGGCTTTCCTAGGCAACACGGAGGGGAAAACAGTAAACCAGAAGGAGCAAAGAGCTCTGCAATGGCGTAGAGCAGAACTGGCTTGCCTGCAGCAGCTCCCAGCTTCCCCATGAGGTGCGGGGAAGTGACTCTGCTCTGCTTTCAGGCCTTTTTGATTCTCCTTGTGTACTTGAAATCCCCTTGGTGTCTTGAGTGTGCCCTTTCCTATGGTGCCTCCTGCCCCTGACAGCAGCCCCCCATCTGCTGCCTCATACGAAAGGCAGGGAGAGAGCAGGGAGCTGTTGGGTGCTGTTGTCTGGTACTGTCAGCTTCAGCCAAGCTGAAATCCCAGGAGCCTGGAGTGCATCTTGGCCTAGTTTTCCTGGAATTCAGCCTGGACAGTCCCGAATTTCCCTTTTTGGGTGGTGCTTTTGGTACCACAGCGTGTCTGCATGCCCCAAACGGGTCCGCCCATGCTGCTTTGGGTGCCTGAATTCCCACCTGGCCCTGGGTTACCTTCTGGGAGCCAGTTTGAGCAGAGGAGCCTGACTGCCTGTGCCTCTTGCCCACAGATGAAACGGGCAGTAGTGTGCACCCCACGGTGCTGGCGATGCTGCGGAAGCTGCAGGACGGGTATTTCGGTGGCGCAAGGTGAGCGCACCCTCCTGGGGTGAGGGCTGTCATGCCTCCAAGAGCCTGGTGAGCAGTGCACTGGCTTTGGGGAAACAGGCTGGGGAGGACACATTGGGGTGTGCTAGGCTGTCAGTGCACCCTGGGGCTACAGTCTCAACAGAGGAGATGAAAGAGAGGATAAAGCTCTTCATGGCATCAAACCCATGGCTGCAGGATCCTCCTAATATCTTTTGGGCAGCCCTTCCGTGCCCACCTGTGGCTGAAGGAGTTGCAGACAGCTAAAGCAGACATTGGTGTGCATATGCTCCTGACAGGTCCATCTCTCCCTGCCAAAGGGCCTGCCCTGGAGCCAGGAGGTAAAGCCAAGGGTACTACCTCCCCTTTCCTCTCCCATGTGACCTCCCCATCTCTCGCCCAGGATCCAGACGGGTAAACTGTCGGAGTTCCTGACAACGTCATGCCGAACACACCTCAGTTTTATGGACCCTGGGCCAGAGGGTAAGGTCTTTGCCGAGAGTTACAGGCTCTGCAGTGACAGCTTTGAGGAGCTGGACAGCGAGGACTGGCTGCATGGCTTGCAGGTAGCAGAGGAGGGTAAGGGAGAACAGGCCAGTCACTGCTGTGGGGTGGCAAATGCCCAACTCACCCTTAAACTCCTAACATGCAACCTCCTGCTAGCATCCATGCACTTGGTTTTTCACCATGTTCCCATCTGACCCTCTGTCAGCCTTGTCTGGAACGAGCTGCTGCGACCTTTGTAGGGAAGAGACAAAGGATTGGCAGCTTACCTCCACTGGGGAGATGTGTCTGAGGGTCTTTGGTGCACAAGTGCAGTGCAATGTGAAGGCACAGTGACCAAGGCAGTGGGGAAGAGCCACTGTGTCCTTAAGCAATTTGTCTTTTTCCCAAAGCCTTTGCCCCTCTCCTGGGCAGAGGTGCTCCGGTGGGTGCCAAATTGAAGCCTTGATGCTGTGTAGAGGGTGCCTGAGAGTGCCTTGGCCCATCACAGCATGAGGGGGATGGTCCCCCCTTGTGCTGGGACCATGGCGGGGTGCAAGTTTTACTGTTCCCCTTGCAAGCAGGCCTGGGCATATCCCTTCCTGTGTGACCTAGTGCTGGTAATCATTGGCCTTCCCACCATCTGCTGTGCCTCTGCAGCTCCTGCAGCCAGTGTCTGCACTGCTGGGACTCTGAACACTCATTTCTTTTGCCCTTATCTTGCTTTGCTTGTAGCCTCCTTACAGGCTGCATCTGGGTTTGTCCAAGGTGTTTGCTTCCCCTCCAGCCCCAGTGGGAGAAAGGGGAAAGACCTGCCTGGCCTTTCTACGGCATCTCAAAGATGCTCAGTTTTGAGTTTTTCCTGTGGTCAGATGCTGCAGCCAGGCAGGAGGATGTTCTCAAGCCTGGTGCCTAGAGGACTTCTCCAGCCAAGCCTCCAGGCACTGGCATGAGGCATTCCCTCAAGGGAATGCCAGGCTGCTTCAGGTACAGTCCACAGCTCACCTCCTAGGGCTGACACACCTCCGAGTTTGCCAGCTGGAGAGCAGCATGGCTTTGCCCTGGCCCACTGGAAGTGCATCATCAGTTCTGTGTTTTATCGGGGGTATCTTCCCCAGGGGGCACCCCCCTCACTTTTACCTCCCAGCTGAGCAGAGACCTGGCCTCTGAGCACCCTCTTCCATGCTGCTGTTAGCATGTGGTGCCTCTGGTGCTCCTGGTGTGATGCTGGGAGCAGTTGGAGCTGCTCAAGGCTGGGCAAAGAGAAGGCGGGAGCCATAACTCCTCCTCTAACTCCTAATTAGAAATAACTGTTGCAAAACTCACCCTACCTTGCTTCTGTGCTGGAGTCCTGCTTGGAAGATGCCCTTGCTGTGCTGGGGTGCTCCTGAGTGGTCTCTTCTTGGACAGGCTGACCGTGGCTGTGCCTCTGAAGGGAAAGAGTGGGAGGGTTTCACTGCAGGGTTTGAGTGGGACACTCCTGTCCTTGCACAGGCTTGTACCAAACACACGATGCAGCACCATGGCTTCCTTTGTCCAGACGGGACTTGGAGGGAGCCCCAGTTTGGGGCCCTAGCTGTCAGCCAGTGTCCCAGGCAGCAGAGTCATGCAGGAACAGGGGTGCCCTGGCTGCAGTGCTTTGTGAGCCTGGCTGCTGGCACTGGCCCCACATTGTCGCTTTGTGCGGCCAGCAAAGCTTTGTCCTTGCCGAGGCACAGCTGGGGTCTCTCTGGCCCTGGGGGTGCCCCAGCACACAGTGGCTGAACCCCTCTCTGCTTCCTTCCCTTCCAGAGGACGCCTACGATGAGGTTGCCCAGTACCTGGACCACCTGCTGCAGCGCACGACTCCCCAGTCCAACCTGCCCCCCACTGCCCAGCGGGGAGGGCTGAGCCGCTTCCGGACTGCTGTCCACACCACCCGTGACCTCATGTCCCTGGCATCCAAGGCCAAGGACCTGCATGTCCAGAGTGAGTAACTCCAGTACCCTCCACACCTTCCCTTGAGCCCAGGGGTGAGGCTGAGGTGATCTGGGAGCTTTCCCAGCTCTGTGATGCTGGGGTCCCCATGGACTGCAGAGCAACTAACATTATGTCCATCATGTTAGTCCTGACTGCTTCTCCCGTAGCTGACTTCTCTGCAGGGGCTACTGGGGGAGCAGTGTCAAATATCTGTCAGGTGGTTTGGGGCAAGCAGTGGTGATTGGGGTCAGAAGTGTCTCTGCCAACTTTTACATTTTTTTTTTTTTAGATGTTGGGTTGTATGTCCCCAGCAAGATCTTCCAGGCATCCCAGCAGTCGGTTAACCTGCTGGGTTCACCCTACCAGCAAGACATGGATGGCAAGGTGAGCCCTGTCCCTCCCAGACTGAGCATTGCTGTCCTTTCAGGTGGAGCCAGAGTGTCTTTGCAGGACTGCACGAGGAAGGCTTGGTGTTTGTTGAGGGGGAATATCCACGAATGAATGTCCTTGGCTCCATTTGGGGCAGGGTGCTGGTGGTGCTAACCAGCAGCACGGGTCTCCCTTCCCCCAGAGCCATGCAGTCTATGCAGAGATGAGTCTGCCCCGTGACGAGGATGGCAACGTGGACTGCAAGGCACTGGTGGACCAGCTGCGCATCTGCCCCACAATGCAGGAGCAAGCAGACATCCTCTACATGCTCTACATGCTCAGGTGGGGTGAACTCTGCATCCCAACGGCTCACTGAGCAGAGAGGGGGTTGGTACAGCCCAGGGGGGCTGCTGGGGAGCTGCCACAGACAAATTGCTGTGTATAACCCAGCACCTCCTTCACCGCAGGGGGCCCGAGTGGCACACGGGGCTTGATAGCAAGCCTGGCCCCACTGTCAAGGAGCTCCTCACTGAGCTGTATGTGCGGGTGGGGGAGACACGCCAGTGGGCCCTGATCCGCTACATCTCTGGCATCCTCAAGAAGAAGGTTGAAGCTCTGGATGAGGTAACAGCTGTGCAGCCAGCCTCTAGCGGGCTGAGGTCTGTCGGGGAGGAGGCAGCAGAGTGAGCAGGTGAACCGTGGCTGCATCAGCTCTGTCTCCCTCTGCCTTGTGCTGAGCCCCCAGACCCTCAGTTTACAATAGCTGGGGTTGACCCTTTCTGTCCCCAGGCCTGCACTGACCTCCTGTCTCACCAGAAGCAGTTGACTGTGGGACTGCCCCCAGAGCCACGTGAGAAGACAATCTCCGCGTGAGTGTGGTGCCTCTCCCTCCACCAGCATGCTGGGCTAGATCTGGATGTGAGCCTGCTGCTCTGGGGTCCATGGGCAGGAGCGGCCCTGGCTGGCTGTCCCCAGCCTGTATCTTTCCTCTTGGGGCTGTACAGACCAGGGGCATGCAGGGCTTGCTCTGCTGCCTCTCACTTGCTCTACTGTTTTTTCATGCCCCAGCCCCGTCCCCTACGAGGAACTTGTTCACCTCATTGATGAAGCCAGTGAGAAGAACCTCAGTGTGGCCATCCTCACCCAGGTGAGGGAACAGGATATCAGGGGGGACCCCACATCTGGGTGTCTGCCCTGCTGAGCAGCAGTGGGGTGATCTGCCTCTGCCCCTCCAGGAGATCATGGTGTACTTGGCCATGTACATACGCACGCAGCCTGCGCTCTTCGTGGAGATGTTCCGCCTCCGCATTGGGCTCATCATCCAGGTGATGGCAACAGAGCTGGCACACTCCCTGCGCTGCTCGGGTACGTGCGGCGGGGACGGCTCCCCGGCTGGGGTGGGTGCTGTGATGCTCGGGGCTCTGTCAGCCAGAAAGGAGTACTGTTAAAAATGGCAGCTCAGGTTAGGACAAGACCCTGCATGGAAGTGACAGCGTCTGCAGCTGGACCTGTTCTTGGGCAGCACAGGCGAGTGATTGCACTGCAGTCTCCATCCCAGCACGTGTTGGGCTGGCATGGGGAAGAGTCCCTGTTGTAGGCAACCACTCGAGCTAGTGTATGTCTGTGGAGGATGAGCTCCTGTGCCAGTGCTGCCCCTGCTCACAGAGTATAGTGCAGGGTAGAAATGTTCTAGGAGAACTATAAGGCAGGGTACAAAATCCCAATTCTTTTCTCTCCAGCCACAGAAGCCACGGAGAACCTGATGAATCTCAGCCCATCAGACATGAAGAGCCTCCTCTACCACATCCTCTCTGGCAAGGAGTTCGGGGTGGAAAAGAGCAGTGAGTCTCTCAGCAGAGAGCATCTCTGGGCAAATCTGGTTCCTGGTGCAGAGTGCGGTCAGATCTACGTGTCCCTGTCCTCCCTCATGTTCAGCACAGCTGCTTCTGCACTGCAGGGGTCCAGCAAGAAGCTGTGCTCTTCATAAGGATGGTGCTGAGTGATTTCCGGGGATTGAGCCCTGTGGCTCTTTGGGCTTTGCTTAGTTTGTCACTTGACCTGGTCAGGTCTGAATTGAAGCACTACTGTGCTGTGCTCATGGATCTCTGATGCTGTTGGGATAGAGGGCAAGGGCATGCAGAGGTACCAGTGCCTGAGCAGTGACAAGGGACAGCCATGCCCTGAGCCATGGTGCCCACTCTAGACCTCTCTTCCCCTGCAGTGCGTTCAGTGGACTCATCTGTGGTCACCCCTACCGTCTCCATCCATGACCTGGGGGCTGCTGGGGCCACCAGATCTGAGCGCTCCGGCCTTGTCAGGCTGAAAAGTGAAATCAAACAGGTGAGGGCAGGCAGTGCAGGCTGCTCATGACAGGTCTTGTGGGTGACAAACAGCTACAAACCAGGCAGAATTGATGGAAGAGTGGGAGACATCTCAGCTGCTTCCAAGAGCTAATTTTGGCTCTGATCCTGCCCTGGGGGGGAGAATTGAGGTGGATCAGTTAGTGGGTGGGGGTTGCTCTGGTAGTGCAAAGGGAGCACAGGGGTGCTTGAGAAGGTGCAGGGGTGGGGAGGACCATGCAGTGTCCCAGGTGTGGGTAGCATCTTGGTGGGCCACTTCCAACAGCAGAACCTTCATTTCCTTCTTCTCTTGCAGCAATTGAATAAACGTAGGCAGTCTATGCCTGGGAGTAAGGTGAAGCCCCCCTGGTCCTGCAGCCTCAGCTTTTGCCCCTCATGCCATGCACCAGGACAGCTTCCTCACATGCATGACTCAATGAGCTTCCCTCAGCTGCTGCAGCAATGAATTGCCTTTCCCTCTCTAAGCAGGCTCAGGGCTGCTCTGTTCAGGACAGGGAAGGAGGCTGGCTCCCTGGGAAGAGGTCAGCATGGCTTAACGTGCCCAAGGCTGGCACTGCCCCACAGGAGCTCCCCTTGGAGTAGGACCTGCCGTGTTTGGATTAACAGGAAGGAAGGCTTCCCTAAGCTGTGGGGGTACTGCCATTACAGCCAGCTGGGAGCTGTGCTCCAGAGTTTCTGTGGCCAAATACATTCCATTACACTCACAAAATGCAGTGAGCAGGATGGCACAATGCTTCCAGTGCCATGACCAGTAGTGACTCTGCCAGACAGTTCACTGGATCCTGCCTGTAGCCTCCCCAGCTATTTCTTCTCTGGGGGAAGAGGCTTCTGGTCAGCTACAAATGCCAAGGACCTCCTCATGTGTCTGGTGTGTGTCCAGAGGAGTCCTGAGCTCTAGAAGGGGTCCTGTCCTCAAAGAGATGGGGCTTGCAGGGACCAGGCTGATGCAGCAGGTTTAGGGCCAACTTGCTGCAGTGTGAAACCTGATATTGCAAAGGGCCATCTGTGGGCAGTGACATTGCTACTGGCCCTCCTGTCTGCCCGAGACTCAGTCCCTGCCCATGCCAGCAGCCAGCAGAGCAGTAGCAGCTCTGCTCCTGTGCGCAGGCTGGCACAAACCCACCTCTCGTGCACCCCACCAGCATGTGGGGCCCCTCAGCTGCTCCATGCCCTGGTACAATCCTTCCCTTCTGATGGTAACATGGGACTTTCCACAGCTTTCCTCTCAAAACTGCATCTCCAGCTAACTGCAGCCCTGGGATAACTGCCCCGTGACCTGAGCTTGATCTGTGCTGCTGCTGCTCCGCTTGCTGTGACTGCTGCCCTGCTCTGGCACGGTCTGATTTCCTTCTCTCCCTTTCTCCTTCAGCCCATCAGTTTGCAGTCCAGGGACATCGAGCTCAAGTCCTCTCTGGTAACCTGTGTTTGTTTGCTGCATGCATGGGGTCTGTCCTGTTTGTGATGGTGGGAAGGAGCTGTGCTCTGGGGGGTGCTGTAAGGTGGGCTTTGCTGGGGGCAGGGGGTGGGAGCTCTATCAGACTGGAGAACCAGAAACTCTTGAGCAGTAGCAGGCTGCGCTCTTGTGGGGTGTTTAACTTTGCAGCAGTCTCTGTGGTCCTTGTTTTGTCTGCCCAGTCTGTTGGGCACGGGGAGCTGCTGGACAAGGACTCCTTTTCAAGCATGCTGGAAGACCAGGGCAGTAAGGACAGCCGGCAGGGCCAGTGGCAGCGGAGGCGGCGGCTGGACGGGGCCCTCAACCGTGTCCCTGTGGGCTTCTACCAGAAGGTCTGGAAGGTCCTGCAGAAGGTGAGCTGGATGTCCAGCTGGCGCCTCTCCTGTGGTCCCAGGCACCAGCCTTGCCAGGGGTACTTAGACACTGGTACTTAGACAGGCTGGTCCCTGATATTGTGTAGATATGGGCTTCATGGACAAGGCCTGCAGCTGGCCCTGGAAAGCCGGGGAAGACCTGGAACTGCCTCGAAGTCACATAGGACCTAACCCATCTTGTGCCTTGCAGAGGGGAGCATTAGCCAGACAGGGGCAGAGCTGGAGCCACAGCTGAAGGAGGTCCAGGCACACCTCATGCTCAGCATGCTGAGCCAGGGAGCAGAGCCCTGTGCCCGGGGGCTCCAGTTGATGCTGAAATGATGGGAAAGGAGTGATGCTGTGCAGAGTCAGGAGGCAGAGCTGGGGTGTGTAGGCAGCACACACCAGTGCTCAAGTGGGAGTGAGTTGGTGGGCTGGATCTATGTGTCTTAGCACGATGCTTCTCCAAGCCATAACCACGATCTTTCTTTCTTGTTCTGCAGTGCCATGGCCTCTCTGTGGAGGGCTTTGTTCTCCCCTCCTCAACAACCAGAGAGGTAGGAGGTTCATGTGAAGGGGAAACGGGGCATGCAGGTTGTTGTTGGGTGCTGGGTTGCCCTGGGTGAGTGCCCAGCGTAGCTCAGGACTTGTGCTGGTGATACAGTGCTATCGGTACACTTCTTTCCACATCCTCACAGATGACCCCAGGGGAAATGAAGTTTGCTGCGCATGTGGAGTCTGTCCTCAATCGTGTGCCCCAGCCAGAGTACAGGCAGCTTCTGGTGGAAGCTATCTTGGTGCTCACCATGCTGGTGGACATGGAGGTGCACACCATCGGTGGCATCATACCTGTGGAAAAGATCTTGCACAGAGCCAACGACCTCTTCTATGAGGAGCAGGTAAGGGCCAAGCCTCACCCAGGGCTGCTGGGTGCGTTCCCCACAGCTGCACAGGGCTCACCCACCTGAGCAGGAGGGCCCTGCCCCTTGTCCCTGTTGCGTTCATGGGTCACAGCAAAGCTGTAGTGTCCTCCTCCCGCTGCTCATTGTCAACTTGTCACACCTGTGAGTGCAACGGAGGGTGCTTGGGGTGGAAGCTGGTGAGGGGGTTGCTCTTATTCTAATGTCGGCTTTCTCCTTCCCTGTCCAAAATCCAGAAAGCCCTGGGCGCTGACGACCAGATGTTGGAGAGGGATCCTTCGACAGGCATCTGCATCCTGCTGTACGACAGTGCCCCGAGCGGCCGGTTTGGCACCATGACCTACCTGTCCAAGTCGGTGGCCTTGTACGTGTACGACTTCCTGCCCACAGACAGCTGCTCCATGCAGTAGCTCTCGCAGCTCCTCGCTGGGTTGCAGATGCTGTGGGGAGGGTTGTTTCGTACAGCTTGTAAAGAGGAACACTAGGATAGTTTGCAGGCAGCCTGCGTGGCCATCTCTCCTCCTAGCCCTGGCCTCTCAGTGGGTGAGCGGCCCTCTGAGGAGCCCCGCAGGAGGCACGTGTCCTAAACTGACCTGTGCCTATGTGTGGCCTGAGGAGGAAGGGAAAGGCTGAGCTTTGAAGCCTGCTTGTGTTAGAAGTGTCTGCCTGCATGGTTCCTCCTGAGCCATCACCCCCAGAGGGACCTCTGTTTGAGGCAGTTGACCAGACCTGCATGCTCAGCACTGCAGTGCTCCCTGACCAGCTCATACTCTCCCTGCCTCCAGCAGGTTTGCAGTTTTTAACTGTGTTTTAACTGTGCTGCTTTTTATTCCAATCTGCAGGATTTATACTAGTGTAGGCTGGAGCTCTTGCTCTTCCTACTGCTGCAGGAATAGTTTTGCTAGAGAAATAGGGGATGATGCCTGAGCCTCTGTCCCAGCACGCCCCAAATCAAAATGGTCCAGCCCAGCCACAGCTGTGCTGCTTGGAAGCAGGCAGCCCATCATCCTTCCCTCGGGGGTCCTGTGTGCAGAGCTGGGGAGGTTGTGGTAGCCAGGATCCCTGTTGCCAGCAAGATGTGAGGACAGGGCTTCTGGCTGGCTGGGGCACGCTGGTGGCAGCCCCTCTGTGCCATATACTTGTCCCTGGCAGCAGTGCTGGTGGCCAGGTCGCAGGTTTTTGAGTTCACACGTGCCTTTTGAATCACCTCTGAGCTGGCTGCTTGGTGTTATCTGTGCAATCACAGCTGTGCCCTTAATGCTCAGCTCTGGCCTTGGCCCCAACTCCCACAGCCTGGCACAGGGAGGGGTGGGGACACAGAGGGTGCCTGCTCCACTCTATCCTGCAGGTGCAGCTCTGAGCAAAGGTCCCTTTCCCCTTTGGGGAAGGTGGATCCTATCCAACATCAGTGTGCCTGGGGCTGTACAGGCTGTGCTGTTATAGATAAATCTGAAATTGTGGCAGTGACACCAGCCACCAAATCATATATTTAACAGACTAGGTCTGTCTCTTCCAATGTCCCTGCCCACAACTGGAGGGATGGAGGAAAGAACCTGTGTTTCAGAATCACTTACCAACCATCCCCACACCCTGAAGTCTCTTTTGATTGCCCTTGGACTACATGTTGTGGCTTCATTGCCAACCACGTGGAAGGCCAGCAGTGGGTAAAAGTCCGAGGGCTGAACCAGGCTGGGAAGTTTCCTAGTGCTGCCCTTAACCTGGGCCTCAGGGAGGCAGCAGACTTCCCTGAGAGGACTGTCTGTGTGGCATATTGGACCGTCTGTGCCCCTCAGAAAGCAGTCACCCATCTTTCTTGTAGAGGTTGCCATGGTCTGGGGGGTATCACAGCCATGGCAACACCTCTGGTGTAGATGGACTAACATGCACCTCGTCCATTGCCTGGCCTTCCAGAGCCAGAGCTTCATCACAGGGAGATGTAACGTGGGCAAGGAGGGGATTTGGCTCCACCCACTCCTTTCCTCTATTCCTGCCTTCACCTGGCAGGGGAGGATGCAGGATCTGCTTGAACCTGTGTATTTTCGGGTGGCTGTTCCTGTTTCTGTCAGGGAGGGCAGAGCCTGGTTCCACTAGCCTCTCTCAGACTCCCTTCTGCTCCTTAACCTTTCTACGTCCTCATAGCTCAGCCCCAAGGCTGAGCAGATCACTGTCCCCTTGGTCACACTGAACACAGCTTTTCTCATCACTGCCATCGTTCCCTCCTTGCACCCAGAGGCCTGGATGGCTGCATATTCTCCTGGGAGCTCTGCCAGGGTGGCCACATCCACTGTGGCAAGCACAGAGGACGTGGTCTGTGCCAGGTGGATGCCCCAGCAGAGCTCCTTCTGAGAGGGCGATGGTCACCAGCTCAACTTGCCTCTTGAGCTGGGAGGGTGACAGTGCCTGTGCCACGTGCCAACACCGTGCTCTGCCCACGCTGCCCGCCGCGCTCCCCGGGGTGGCCCCAGAGCCAGATGTTTTCCTGTGTGTGTTTCTGTGGTTTTTGATCTCCAGAGGTTGGTTTGGCCTCAAAGCCGGAGGGGGGGGGGTGTCTCTCGAGCCATCGGCTGTTGTATACGTGTTGCTGATCCCTCCCCCCGTGACCCCTGCCCCGGGCAGAGCAGCCTTGATAGGGCCGAGCCCCAGCCCGGCTCCTCCCTCCGGCACGGTGGGAGCTGCCTGGGCTCGGCGGGGCTCGGGCACCCCGAGCAGGGCGGGCGGTGCGTGCAGGGCTCAGTCCTTTTCTAATGACAATTACTACTTTTTTAGATAATAGACACCACCCCGAGCCGCGTGGGGGCCCCAATAAAAAAGTCTCTAACAGCGTGTGCGGCCTGTCCTTGCCCGGCCTGGCTGGGAGGGAGGGAGGGCGGCGGGGCGGGCCTACAGCTCCCGGCGGGCCGCGGGGCCGGAACCGCCCGTGCTGCTGCGCCCCGGCCCCGGCCGTGTGGGCCTCGATGGCGGCGGCGCCGCCGGTCTACGTGTACAGCCCGGAGTACGTGGAGCTCTGCGACTCCCTCTGCAAAGTGCCCAAGCGGGTCAGCGCCGCGCCGGGGGTGGCGGGGCGGGAGGGAGCGGGGAGCGGGGAACGGGGAACGGGCGGCCCGGCGGGAGGAGTGTGCGGTCAGAGTGGGGTGGGGGGCCCGTCTGTGCCCTCACACCGCCCCTGGCAGCGCCGTGACAGCGACACTGAAGCGCTTCCCTTCCCCGGCTGTGCCTCTGCCCGGGACACCGGGAGACCCATCACGCACCCCCGGGATGCCCTGCCCGGCTCCAGCCGTGCCGGGAGAGCCGCTGCTGGGGGGAGTCACAGCCACAGCTCGGCTGCGAGTCCTTCCTTGGGCCCCCCCATGCCCCCGGTTGCTGCCTTTGTGTCTCCTGCTCTCACAGATGTGCTCTTCTCTTTAGGCCAGCATGGTGCATTCGTTGATTGAGGCGTATTGCCTGCTCGACCAGATGAAGTAAGTGCTCCCGTTTTCTGTGAAGGGATGTTTTCTTCTCCGCTGAGGTTTGGAAGGTGCTGAGTAACTTCAGGTTTCACGCTGTCCCTGCTGGCAGGGAGCCCCCACAGTGTGTATTTCTAAGGAATCTACACAGTGTGTATTTCTAAGGATCTAAGGAAAGTGCTTGTTTTGCTACGTGGACACGATTACAGTGGAAGGTGTAATTCGTGGTTACTCTCCTGGTCTGGTGGAGCACAGATTTTTCTCGTGCCTTCTCTGCAGAGTGTCTGTCACCCCCAGGCTCGGGGCTCGGAGCAGGGTGACAACCTTGGTGCTGCTCCAGATCCACTGCTCAGTCAGTGCTGATACAGAGAGGGACCTTGTTGTTTTGTTGTGTCGTGATTGATCTGGGAGACTTATTGTGAGGTCTTGGGGCTGTTCAGGAGAGAAGACAAGGTGAAACCTGGGGCAGAAGAGTGAGATCCCTCCTGCTTCATTTGGCTTTTGACACTGGAGCATATGAAGGGAATAAAAGGCTTAGCTCAGCCTCTCTTATGTTCTTAAAAAAAAATCCCATGTTCCAGTTCAGCAGGGCCAGAAGGTCCTATTGGGACTTCTTTTTTAAAAGAATTTTTTTTTTCTAGCCATTTTGGCAGAGTGTGCTTGGTACCTGGCTGCAGGTGCCATCATCTAGCAGACCTGAAGGGCTGTTTGCCTTGGCAGGGACTGGGAAGTGCCTGGCACTGGGACCAGCCTAGAGCTGGGAGTTTCCTGAGGTCTTCCCATTCTTTCCTATGCTGTGCTGCCCATGTGTGCCCCCCGTGTCTGAGATTTGGAGAGGATTCAGTGTGTTGCAGGATTTGTTTAGGCAGACTGCAAAGCACCCAAACCCAGGAAGGTGCTGGGAACAGCAGTAGTCTCTGCTTTGATGCAGGTGTAGGTCAGAGCACTTGAGAAGTGCTGTCCAGCTCCTGACCTGGCAGGGTGGGGTCCTGCTGCAGCAGCTGGGACTGGACTTTTCCCTCTGTTAGTGCCTCTGTGTGTAACCAGAATGTTGGATCCACTGGGCATTGCTCATACTGGGAGAACATGCAGAAAAGGGGGAAAAACACTTGAAGCAAAATAGGAAGGTTAGTGCAGGCAGCACCTGTAGGTGTTCTTCCCTGGGCTGGGCATAGCAGGCAGTGCCACGCTGGAGTCAAGGCCAGCTCAGCTGGATGTTTGCTCACTGGAGTGGCAGTCTGGTGCAAGAGAAAGAGGGATTTTTGTTTGCTTTTACCACAGTAACGGCCAAAAGAAGGCTTCTAGGTTAAAGGCTAAAGCTGAGCATTCCAGCCAAACCCTAGGCCCTCTTGTCCTGACATGCTCCCTTCCTTCTCTCTGCCTAGGATAGTCAAGCCAAAAGTGGCCTCCATGGAGGAGATGGCAAGTTTCCACACAGATGCTTACCTGCAGCACCTGCAGAAGGTCAGTGAGGAGGGGGACGATGACCATCCGGAGTCTGTGGAGTATGGACTGGGTAAGGATGTGTGTCTTCAGCGAGAGCTTAGCTGAGTGTCAGGACCAGGATGCTTTTTTTGCTGCAGCTGCAGTTAGAGTGGTGAGCTCAGGAGTAGGCCCCTTCTATGGGGTCAGCCCTTCAGAAACAAGCTGCTCCAGCATGGGTCCCTTTCCATGGAATCAGTCCTTCAGGAACTGCTCCAGTGTGGGTCCCTTTCCATGGGGTCAGTCCTTCAGGAATAAGCTGTTCCAGCATGGATCCCCTGCAGAGTCACAGGTCCTGCCAGCAAACCTACTGCAGCGTGGGTCCCTTCCATGGAGTTACAGCTTTGTTCAGGCACACTCCCCTGCTTCTGGGACATAGGGTCCTCCAGGGGCTGCAGGGCCATCTCTGCTCCATCGTGGACCTCCACGGGCTGCAGGGGCACAGCTGCCTCATTGTGGTCTGTACCATGGGCTGCAGGAACTCCAGTGCCTGGAGCACCTCCTGCCCCTCCTTTCCTGCTGACTTTGGGGCCTGCAGGGTAGTTTCTTTCACAGGCTCTCACCTCTCTCCCAGGTGCTGCACTGTGGTTTTTGCCCTTTGTTTGATATGTTCTCCCACAGGCTCTGCCCGCAGTGCTGATGGGCTCAGCCTTGCCCAGAGGCAGGTCCGTCCTGGAGTTCTGTCCAACATGGGGGCAGCTCCTGGTGGCTGCTCACAGAAGCCACCCCTGCAGCCCTCCCACTGTGAACACCTTACCACGCAAACCCACCACAACTTTATTCCTACTCAGGCCCCCTGAATCTGCTGTGTGAGTCCAAAGCTGACAGCTGTCGTGAGGGTTTGTGCCATGGCTTTGGCGTTGTGTTTGGAACAGAAGGTCAGAGCCGCACTTAAAGAAGATGGCTCAAACAAAAGGAATGTGCTTCCCCTGGAGGCAAAGGCCTGTTGTGTCTGACATGTGGACTCTTACCTGGACTTTTACCCGCAGGTTATGACTGTCCAGCCACTGAAGGGATCTTTGAGTATGCAGCGGCCGTGGGAGGAGCCACCATCACTGCAGCCCAGTGCCTGCTGGACGGCAAGTGCAAGGTAGCAATTAACTGGCCTGGAGGGTGGCATCATGCAAAGAAGTAAGAAAACAATCTCTTCCCTTGTGTTTTCTCACCTGGTGTCTGAACCCCGCTTCCTAGCTCCCGGCTCCCCTGCGAACCCTCAGGGTGCGGCGATCCAGCTGGGAGAGAAAGCAAGGTGTGAGGGAAGGCAGAAGGTAGAGAGGGCAGGGCAGAGGCCTGAGAGGAGGCCGGTCACTGCCCAGTGCTGTTGCTGTCATGGACTGCAGGGAGGGTCTGGAGCAGGTATACTCACAGATGTCCCACCGTTCCTTGATACTTGGTTATCTCCGGCAGTTCAAGTGAGAAGGGATTTTGTGAGGTCCATAGAGAAGCACTGTGGAGAGTCAAATGATTGATGCAGCTTGGAACACAATGGGAATGTGGCAACATGTTGGCCAAATTGCTTTGTGTGGCTTTTTTGGTTTCTTAATAAGAGGTTTGAAAAGGTGCAAGGTTGACCTTGGGTTTCCCTACACTCCATGGGGGGCTGTTTGCTCTGAACTCTAACATCAATAATGATCTTCCAGCACAACAGGAGAGGAAGTAAAAGTTTTGATCCCGAATTCTGTGGTTCTGTAATGGTAAAATAATTTGTTTCCATCCCATTTTCCACGGATGTATGTTTTATTTAACTTGTGTCCCCCATCTCCCAAAACATGGGGCCTGTCTGCAGTGCAGACAAGACAGTATGTCTTCCTTGTCCACAGCCAACTGGCCTTCACAGTGCTATTCTGTGTCCCTGGGGAGCCCCAGGGATTTGCATGAAACCCGTGTCTAACTCTGAGAGCTTGAACATGGATGTGCAGATGCCTCTCCTTGCTGCAGTGACTTTTCTGACCTGGCAGAGGACCTCTGAAGGTGTAACAGTGGTGTGCGAGCTGGGTTCTCGTCCTCCTCTGTGCCCCTGTGAGGTGGAGACTTGCAAAGTCAGGGTGTCAGCACCGAGACTGGTGGTGACTGCATTGGCAACGTTCAACGTCATGGACATTGTTTTCACAGGGATGAAGCTTCTGGCTTCTGTTACCTGAACGATGCCGTCCTGGGGATCCTGCGGCTGCGCCAGAAATTTGACCGTGTGCTTTATATCGATTTGGATTTGCATCATGGGGATGGTAAGGCCCAGCAAAGGCTGCAAACAGCACAGCTGCACAGACCCAGGGGGAGGAACGGGAGAAGTTAAGGCCTGTTGGCGCAGCAGAACTTTGTGTGCTGCCACAGCTGTGGCTTTGCCTCCTTTCAGTGCAGTTGAGTTCACTCAATCCATTTCTGCCTTGTCCTGTTTTATGAAGTTACCCTTCAGATGCTGCTGTTCAGACCTCTCTTGAGGGTCTGGGCAGGAGTCTTGTACCTAAAGCAACAGACAGTGTTGTCCTAGTCTCCCATCCTGGCAGAGCAGTTGCTGACAGGATTTAATTGTTTAATGCTCCAGTGCAAGAGGGAAGCAGCCAGTAGTAAATGGTGCTTTTAAAAGAAGGCTTGATGCTATAAAAGTAAAGCCAGAACTGGCCTTTCTGAAACTGCTCTCTCCTTCAGGGACACGATTTCAGCACCATTTAACATTTCCCGCTCTTCTAAATTTTATGGTGTGTTTCATTTTGCTCCGTTTTCTCCCTGCATTTGGTTTCTCTTAAGTTTCCTGTTACTTCTTTTTCCCTCCCCCCACCCCCACTATTTTAATGTGTCTTTAAGGAAAAGAAAAGGCATGTTGAACCGCAGCAGCACTGAGAAAAAGCGAGAGAGCCCGGTAGCACTGGTTCTAATCAGAGCCAAGCTCTGGCCAAGGCAGCCCTGCTCGGATCCCTCTCCCAGCCTCGCAGGCCGAGCAGCGCAGGCGAGTGCTGCTGCCCTGGGCACTGACGTGAGGTATCGAGATCCGTTCAGTACTGATTAGCATGAGACCTGCCAAATTCATTTCAGTTGTGACCTTTGCTGCAGTTGAACTCAGGTCTCTGTGAATCGAGAATGGATTTATGGAGCCACATCTGCATTTCTGCTTCGCTCGTGCTGCTCCTGCTCTGCTTGCTGCCCCATGTTTATCAAGCAGCTCTGTTTGTGTGTTCAGGCTCTGTCATTTATATGAATGGTGCATGAAAGCTGTTTTTTCTTTCCTGGTAGGAGTTGAAGATGCCTTTAGTTTCACCTCGAAAGTCATGACTGTTTCTCTGCACAAGTTTTCACCAGGATTTTTTCCAGGCAAGTTGAACATGTGAGGTTTGTGCTCATTTGGTTCATGCCTTTGCTGGGGCCTCACCAGTGATGCAAGTCCCATCCAAAAGAGATGTCTTGCTGCCTCTCCTCTCGACCCAGAAGAAGGAAGGAACAGGGAGCTACATGTTTGGTGTTTCCACCTTTGTGGTTGTGACTGGGCTCTGGACAGAGCCCCTTCGACTGCATGGCAGAATTGGGCAGAGGAGAGAACTGGGTCCCTCCCACCCTCCTTTCTTGGTGGTGGCAAGTGGACTTCTCCATTAGTGTGCCGAAGGTCCTGGCTTTCAGCTCTCCTCTGAGAAATCCCACACATCTCTCTCTTGCAGCTCCTCTGCTTTCCCTCATAATTGGGGTGTTTCTGTTGTGCAGGCACTGGTGATGTGACAGATGTTGGCCTGGGGAAAGGTCGCTATTACAGCGTGAATGTGCCCATTCAAGATGGCATTCAAGATGAGAAATATTACCAGATCTGTGAAACGTAAGCCCTCTTGCTCCAGTACATCTTACTTGGATGGGATTTTAGAGAATAAGACACTATGCAGTTTACTACTTTTAATTACAGTCCTTTCTTAGGGCGTGCCCCTTCCCCTCTTGCACCCTTTGATTGCAGTGAGCATGGATCGTAAGAGTTCTCAGAGGTCTTGTCCAGATTCTTAAGCAAACTGAATATACAGAGACATTTGTGGGTGGCTGGAGAGTCTCTGCCACAGGTCAGCCTTGTGTGTCTAAGGAGAGACTGAGAAGGCACAAGTATTTTTTAGCTGTGGACTTAGGGCTAGATGTTTTTCCTTCAAATAAGTGCACTGAATCCTGACATTCTGTGGGACATATGCTTGGGGCTTAGCTAAAAGTGTTTTCCAAGTACCCTCTGTCCATGCTGGAAGAGTGAAAGGCTGAAGGCTGAACATGTGACAGTGATGGAGCTGCCTCCTGGCAGGCTCCTCTGTCACTCAGCTGGTGATGGGCCTCACAAACTGTTGCCCTTGTCAAAACTGGGCTGCAGGGCTTGTTCTTTTCCAGGGGAGAGGAGCCTCAGCACCAGGCTGCAGGACACAGTAGCACATCCACCTCTCAGCTCTAACACTTGAGGGCTGAAACCTCTCCAGACTTGTAGGGCAGTCGTGTGGAGGCCATGCCTCCTGCTAGCTTGTTGATACTTGCCACTGCTGGGGTAGAACAGCCCTCTTTCTGCCGGGAAACATGCTTCCAAAAAGCAGCTCTAGGGGCTGAAAGGGCTGACCAGGAGCCTGGTCAGGAGGAACCTGCTGCATGCATTCACAGCTGAAGGACATCATAACCTGCCTAGATTCCAAGCTGTGTATAACCAAAGCTTCTTCAGAGAGGTTTTGAGATTTTGAGTTCTGTCCGGGCTGGGAGGCAGTCATGGGCCTGACTGTGGATGTCTGATTGTCTGAGTGTGATTGCCTGTGCTTCCCAAAACCGCGGTGGGCTTGAAGCACAGGGCTCCCTCCAATGCAGGCTGACTATACCTTGCACAGAGCTTTTCCTTGTGTTTTTGCCTCAGGAGCCACATAAGAGAGAGGAGAATGAGAACCTAACCAGAGCCTTCCTCTGTTTGTCCTGTCTCAGTGAGAGATGTCTGAGAGTTCAGGATTGTTGTTTTGCCTGATCTCCACCGCAACCTTCAGAGGGAGAAAAGCCTCTGGATTTGTCTTGCAGCCAAAGAGCAGCCAGTGCAAATGTGGAGTTTGATGCTACCATAAGCTGATGAGGACTAGGTCCCCCTCCCCAGCGTTATCAGTGGTGCTTTTGCCTTCATCAGCCTGGTGATAAGTTCTCTGAGAGCTAAACTTGCTGTGGGAGAGTAGTGGGGGCAGAAGGCTAACTGGGAGCAGAGGGAGTGTGACTGGTACAAGCTGGGTGGAAGCAGAGAATGCAGAAACCCCGAGAGGCACTGGTGGATCTGAGGGACCAGAGCTGTGCTACCAGCATCCCTGTGGCATTAACCCCCAGAGCTCCTCCTCTCCACAGCGTGCTGAAGGAGGTGTACGCCGCCTTCAACCCCGACGCGGTCGTGCTGCAGCTGGGGGCCGACACCATCGCTGGGGACCCCATGTGCTCCTTCAACATGACGCCCGAGGGAGTGGGCAAGTGCCTCAAGTATGTCCTGCAGTGGCAGCTAGCAACTCTTGTGCTGGGAGGAGGTGAGTGTGTCCTGCTGGTCTCAGAGAAACATGTTTGTCCTCCCGTGACCCTTCCTCGAGTGCCTTGTCCTTGGGCTCGGCACTGGCCAGGGTTTAGCAGGGTGACTGCTGGGCAGTGTCAGGAGGGCATGCCATGGTACAGTACTGTGTCCTCACACCTGAAATCCTTGATACTGACAGGTGAAAGTCTCAGTCCTGACTCTCACATCTTATTAAAAGCTGCATGGCTCCTCTGGAGAAGAGGAAAGGCCGACAAACTGATCGTGACTTCTCAGTGGCACCTCTGATTCCCATCTCTGTTGATCAGCCTTCCAGTGCTTCTCTTTAAAAGTGAGCACTATGTTCCCAAACCTGCTTTGGGCACCTGGCAATGAATGGTTTTGTTTAGATTCAAGCAGGGGCCTGGGACGAGGACTGGCTGCCTGCAAAGTACAGCAGGGCTCTGATACCCAGTGAAAGCTAAGGTGGACTTATCTCTGCTGTGCTGCATAACCAGCTGCCTGTCCAGTGGGGAGAGCACAGGACAGGCTTTTTGTAACAGAGCATTTCAGAACAACAAAAGCCACTGTGTGCCAGGGAGAGCTCCATGCCTGGAGCCAGATCAGCTCTAGCTGCTGTCCTTTTTGAGATGGGGGAAATCAGGTATAGCATGTTACACCTAAAATTTGATGTGCCTGATGCTCTTTGTTTTGGAAAGGTTATGAGTGTTCAATCCTGCTGTGGCCTGTCTGTGGGTATGCTGGGGATGTCACCTTTCAGACAAAAACCCCCAAAACTTTTGTCAAAAAATGAGGGACAACTATTTGTCGCTCTTGAAAATACCAAAGCAGTGTCCCACCACTGCAGAGTGTGGAAGCATTTGAAGTGGGAAGTGGGGAAGGAGTGAAAAAAAAGCAGGAAAAGCCCCCACAACAACCAACTCAAACAGAAGGGAATGTTGAAAAATACGGTCTCCCTGTCTTGTCATTGTGTTTCTCTCTCTTCACTATTCTAGTCATCTTTCCTGAAAAAAAAACCTTACCTGAGTTTCTTGTGTATTTTGGGTCTAAGGCTGGCATTAAAAAGCAGGAAGCCCCTGTTTCTGCTGCAGCCCTTGCACTTACTTCCCTCCCTGCTACATGTGGGCACCTCTCCTTGTTGCCAGGAGAGAGTCCAGCACGTGGGGCTGGGAGCTCATGCTGGGTCTGAGATGGTGGCTGAAGGACCGACCTCTGCCCCACCAGGTGTAACTGGGGTTCAGTTTGAGAGGTCTGCTCTTGCACACAGTGTCATTTGGACCTGGCCTCGTGTAGCCAGCAGGTGCAAAATGCAGATTTTGGGCACAGCTTGAGTGGATGAAATAAGCTGAGTTCCTGTGAACTGTGCACATTGCCTCCACAGTTTGTTCCTTCCACTAAAATCTCTCCCTCTCTCTTCCCTTTCCCCACTCTTCCCCCTCAAAATCCCAATTCTTGCTGGAAACAGGAGGTTACAACCTTGCCAACACAGCTCGCTGCTGGACATACTTGACTGGGGTGATCCTTGGGAGAACACTGTCCTCGGAGATCCCCGATCACGAGGTAATGCTGTGAAAAACCCTCCCTTCTCCTTGCAGAAGAGACAGTCATTCCACCTGATAATCCACACAGCATCCTTGCCACTTAGTCCTGTTTTGTGGAGACACTCCTGTAACAATACCACCCTATCCCAGCAGCATGGTGGGTGCTTGTGCCCAAAAGCAGAGGCTGCAGCTTTCTGTGAGGGATCTCAGGAACTGATAAACTTCAGTCTCTGATGGTTACAGAGAGGATGGGTGGAGGGAGCCACCAGTTGCTCAAAGAGCTCTTTAGGATGTGCATGTACTTTTGCCTTTCTCAAGGCTTTGAATTTTAACCCTGCTTTTATCAACATACAGAAAGGACCAGGTGCAGCTTTGAAGCTTTGGCTGTGGGGCCAGGTGCTGTCTCAGTGCCAGTGCTGGTGCTTTTCATGTCTTGAGTGGGGCTGGACAGTGTGAATTAATTTCTGTCTAGTGAACCTCTTTCCCCTGACATGGGAATGCTAGTTGGTTGATGAAACTCATGGAAGAGTTTCATGGAAGACTACCCTGCTAGGGACCTGGGAAGCCCTCCCACCTTGGGGCTGTGGTTCAGCTGTTCAACACATTGCTCTGTGTTCTGGGGAGGAATGGCCCAGGTGTTGCTACACCAAAAGCAGGAGTTTGAGATCCAGCACCCTCTCACCCTTGAGGGGATATGCACACTCTGTGCCAGTATGGATCATGTTGTGCATCTTTCCCAAGAGAGAGTGTTCCTCCATGTGTGGGAACCTTCTGCTTCTCAGGAGCACCAAAACAAGTAGGGTTTCTGATGGAGGCTGTGATATATAGGTATCAGTCTCTCCTCCTGGCTTTGGGACACAACAGAGTCAGAAATACCCATATCCAATGGCACATGCACATAGGTCCTTAGCAGAGGGAGATGCCTCTGTAATAAGAAACTGGGATAGGATGCCTGTAATAAGGAAACAAGAAATCCTGATGCTTTAGGTATGGGCAGAGGTCACTGTGGAGAGCACAGTGACAGTGTGCTGGTGCAGCTCCCTGCCTGCTTTCCTGAGACCTCTGTGCTGTTCAGGGGCATGAGAACATGGTTCAGTAGCCTCTGCACGACGAGGGCAGCACATGGCCCCACACACTCAACATCCAGCTGAGAACAGCAGAGGTGTGGTCTGGGGCTCTTCATGCTAAGATGCCATGGGAGTGCTTGTCCAGATGTTTGCTGGGTGACTCTTGTGGAGAAGGCAAACTCCATGAAGCAGTTCAGTGCCCAGGGTGCAGCTGCCTTCCCTTGTGGGTGTCTGTGTGCTGTGCACTGCATTTGGGGCCCTCCTACTGCCTGCCTGCATTCCAGCTCTTCCTCTGAAGCATGGAGAGGGACACATCCATACTTGGCTCTGTTTGCAAAGCTGCAGAGTGAACCAGGAAAGCCCTGTGTAAACAAAGGCAAGTCTGCCTCTCACAGGGGTCAGAGCAAAAGGCAGTAAGATGGTTGGAATGTTTTTTGGAGGACAGTTTCAAATAATACTTAAACATCGTCCTTGTGAGCCATAGCCCATCTTGCTCTGACATTTACTGATCCTAAAATCCACTTTCTGTCTTTTCTGATGGACTCATCTTGCATCAGAGTGTGACAGAGAGCAGTCAGATGTCAGGCAGATTCCTATGTCTGCTCCTGGATTTTTGACTTGACAAATGTGCTTAAACCTTACAAACCTGAGATTTGTATTCACTTCACTTTGATGGGAATTCTTCTGTTCCCTTCTCTTGCTCCATGAGTCACTGTATTTAGAGAAGGCTTTTTTTTCCCTGTAGATGGAAGCAGTCCAAGGTAACATTGTTCCTTACCTGGCTAGTGCAGGTTCCAGGCCAGCACTTTGAGATGCAGCCTGTTCTCTGTGATTAAGGATGAGACATCTTCACCTTGCATTAATCCTACAGAGCTTCCCAACAGAATCTCCCAGAGAAGGTATAGCTGAATGGTTTGGCATATTTTAGAGTCCTTCTCATGAGTATATTTTAGCCTCTGTAACCTTCCCATGTGATGCTCCAGGCTCCCTGCATTTTGCTGTTGGCATTTTTAAGGTAAACTGGTGGAAGCAGGTTTGGTGGAGGGAAAAGCCATGAAGGAAGAGGTTTGGAGACCACTGGGAATGAAATATTTACACAGCTAGGGAATAACTGAAGGGGAGGCAGCATGAGCTTTCACTGTATGTGGATGGATTTGTGTGCACACAGGGTTGATGCCTTTTTGTCAGATTCCCAGGGCTTTTTTCCTGCTGCTTCTGGCAAAGAACCACTAGTGGTTTAATAGCTTATCAGTGCCTGTGCACAGAAACAAAGGTTGGTACTTCCTGATTTCATGTTTTCTTTGCTTTAAATAGGAATTCCCATTCTGATTAACACGAAATGTGGAAACTGAGCTGTCAGCCTTTTGAGATCAGTGCAGAATTCCTGACTGTGAGCAGCTTAAAGGCAGTCCCACCACTGCTTTCCTGCTGTCCAGCCACAGGGCTCTGCTCACCTCCTGAAGGAAACTCCTGAGAGTTTGTGGCCTGGGACAGATTGTTGCTAAAGCACTGGCTGTGAGGTGGCTAGGCTGTGCTGTTCCATCAGTCTCCAGGTCTGGCAAACTCTTTTAGCAATGATGGGCCAAATTCCACACAGTCGTATTCAGCACTTTGCTTCTCCTAAAGCCTTGAGGGGTTTGGGGATGTTCTTGACAGCTCCAGGTCTTGAAATCAAGTTATTATGAAAGAAAGACAATATTCAGAAACCTTTTGGTCATTTTTGGTTTTTTTTTTGTCCATGAGTTTGTAGAGAAGGGCTTGAAAACAAGACAACTGTGGTTTGGAGACCCAGAAACATTTGACTGAGCATCAGTGTAATGGTGTTTAAATAGTCTGAGGATGTCTGGAAAGACCAGCGTAGAATTCCTTGAACATCCAGTGTTGATGGTGCCATGAGTCACGGTCCCATCACAGCAGGTTCCACCAGTGAACTGCTTGTCCTAAAATCAGGAACAGAATGTGGACTTCGGTAAGATGCCTAATTTTTTGCTGTTGGCATAGTACTCGTTGTCAGGTCTGGCATTATTCAGTAGAATAGGTAGCACTTGAATTTTGTTGACTAAAAAATCAGGTTAATCATGTGTAAAATGAGTGTCAACAGCTTTCCCAAATTAAACACTGGGATAGACACTTGACTGCTTTTGGCTGCACCACTGGGCTCTGCTTCCCAAGCCCTTGAACTGAGGAATGGTTGAAAACTCCAGGTGGGCACAGACACTGCAGAAGCACCACCTTGATGCCATGAAGCCACATGTGGCCCTCAGATGGAGAAACTGTTTTTTGCCTTTTTCCAAACAGGTACCCACAGAGAACCCTGCCCCCAGCCTCAGCCACCAGAGGCCTCTCTGCTGACTCTCCCCTCCTCTTCCCTCCAGTTCTTCACAGAGTATGGTCCTGATTACGTGCTGGAGATCACCCCAAGCTGCAGACCAGACCGCAACGAGCCACAGAGAATTCAAGAAATTCTGAACTCTATCAAAGGTGGGTTGTCCAAGCCAACACTCCTGCTTTGGGCTTCCAGGTCCTCTTAGAGAGGGCTTCAGAAGAGCTCACTGGAGTCTTTCTCACTGACTAGAAAGATGAACTGTGTTCACTTGGCTGCTCATTAGTGCACAGAGTCATCTGCCTCCTACTTCCCTTGGGATTCTCAGGGTTAGTGATACAGAGCTGTGGGTCCCTGTAGCCATGCCCTCTAGCTGGGCAGAGGAGCACAGGGCCTTGTCCTTACTGGAATCACGGAACAGCCCAGGTTCTAAAGGACTTCAAAGATCACCTGGTCCGACCTTTTTGTGGGAAAGGGAGGCTAGACAAGATTATCTAGCACTCTGTCCAGTCACATCTTGAAACCTTCTGACACTGAGGCCTCTACCATGTCCCTGTGGAGTTTACTTCAGTGATTGTTCTCACTGTAAAAAAACTCTTAAAATAAGGTGAAACCTCTCCCGCTTCCTTTTATTTGCAGGGAATCTGAAGCATGTTGTTTAGCAGAGGAGTAAGGCTCAGTTTCTGCAAGAGCATTTCCCATGGGGAAGACAGCGTATTTACCTGAGCAACTGGTGAAATTTGTGGCTGCAGGGAAAATTTGGAAGAAATTACTGTTGGTTGGTTAATTTTTTTTCTCTTTTAAGAAGAAAAGCTGCTGCAGGTCACGAGCACTGTGGCTCTCCCCAGGCAGGAGTGTGGGCCCTCCAGCCACAGCCTTCCTGTGCCGGCAGAGCCTCCCTTGCTCCTTCCCCTTTCCTTTTTTAACACCACAGAGTTTGTTCTCACAACTGATTTTAAATGTTTTTTAAGAGAGAGACTGCTCAGAGCTTCAAGCCCTCCCCAGCTGGAGCCCAGAGCCACGTTACCTTCCTGGCAGGGGCACAGCCTCAGAGCTGCCCGCCCGGGAAGCAGAGCCGAGGGCCAGCCTGGGGCACAGGCTGTGTCTCTTACCCACAGAAAGGCACAGCCACTGTGTTTTTAACTGGGAATTTTTTTTAAAATAAAATGTTTGAAATATTCCTCCAACCCTTTTCTTTCTTCCTGCACCCACCCTGCCTTGCCAGTGCTCTTTTCCACAGCATCCCCCCCACCCTGCAAGGCCATGGGTGGGTTCCTGAAATCCTGTGCAGAGGGGCCAGACCCTGGGGATCCTCTCCAGAGTGTTGAGGGAGATTCAGTGTGGCAGCTCCTATCCCAGGAGATCTTGGATGAACCTCCAGATGCCCCAGTGCCCCATGCGAGTGGCCACAAGGCATCTAAGCAAGGGAACAGGTAAACAGGTACAGAGGTATCCGGGGCAGATCTCTCCCGATGCCTCAGGCCACAGAGCCTGGCCTCTGCTGCTCTTGTCCCCTCATTGACCTGGCCCACGGAGCTTTTGTTGTGCTGGGATTTTTTTAAGATGTCCAGTCACTGTGGGAAAGCATATTTCCTGTGGCTTTAATTAGATTACTCTGGAATAAATAGCAAGATGAAGGGGCTCCCAGCCTGGCCTTGACTTTGTTTTGCTCTCTTGTTTTTCTCTGCCGATTGAAACAACAGGAAATCTGGCGTGGAGGGAGTTCAGCAGGATGTGGCTCCCATGACTCCTGACCCCCTTCTCCGCTTCCATGTACCCTTGGCACCTGCTGTGGTGTGGTGTGATGGGAGAGACCAGTCTTGTGTGGTGACTGCTGGCAGGAGGCTGGTGCTGCCACCAGCACAGCAAAGGGTTCCATCGTCCTGGGGACTGTTCAGCCAGGGGAAAAGTGAGGAAGGAGAGAGCAGAGAAGCTGGCCAGCTGCCTCCTCTGACCAACCTGAGGGCCCCACATGCTTTGTCCCTGCACCAGGCAGACTGCCCTGTGAGCTGTGGGAGCTGCTTCAGGAACAGAACTGGGAAAATAAACGATAGGAAACCCCACAAGTGTCAAGCATTGCAGTACTAAATGGGCTTTAGGTGAGGTGCAGGGAGACCTGTAAGCAGGTTGCCCACCCACAGACAGCTGAGAGAGCTGAGCTGTGGGGTAAGGTACCCCCTCTGCCATCCCCATCCACGTCTCCAAATGTGGAGAGACAATTGGAGCTCAACTCGGTGCAAAACAAGAAAAGTGCAAAAGGTGGGACGAAGGCTCGGAGGGTGCCCCCAGTGCCACCACAAACAGCCCCCTCACACCCAAATCCCTTCTCCAGCTGGCTGAGGGCACCAGTCCTCGTTGCCCTGACAGCCCTGCCACCACCTGAACCCCACTGTTGTTCCCTACAGGTGTTACAAGCGTGTTCCAGCCTGGACAGGGGGAGACCAGGTGAGGTCCCATCCCAGACCGGGAGGACACAGAGGAACCCAGCCTGGAAGGGCGGGACACGGGGGCCGGCCGGGGGCCGGAGGGGCAGGTGGTGCCAGCACCGCCCCCCTGGGCTGTCCCGCCCCGTCCCCCCCTCCCTGCCCGACCGACTCGCCCGACGGCCCAGCATCCCTTCGCCTTCCCCCGCGCCGTGGCCGCTATAAATCAGACGGCGGCGGCTGCCCCCGGGGAGCGGGGCTACCCAGGCGCTGCGACCGGGCTGCCTCTCCAGCCTCCCTCCCCGTCTGGATACCTCGCCGGACCACCCCCGCAGAGCCCGGAGATGAGCTCTCCACAATCCCGTCCCCGGGGCACGAAGGACCTCGAGGTGGCGGCGATGCTGCCGGGGTCCCCGCCTGCCCCCGCCGCCCCTGTGGCCCCGCGGGCGGGTTCCCAATTCCTGGCCAGCTGGCGCCTGCAGAAGCTCCGCATCCCGCACCGCACCTCGGGGCGAGCCCGGCGCCGCACGGAGCCCCGCTCGCCGCCCGCGCGGGGCCTGGGGCCGCGGGGCGCGGGGAGCCGCCCCCTCCAGCCCGCCCGCCCCGGCATCATCGACTCGGACCCGGTGGACGAGGAGGTGCTCAGGGCGCTGGTGCTGGAGCTTGGCCTCGACAGGGCGGACGAGCTGCCGGAGCTCTGGCTCGGCCACCACGAGTTCGACCCCCCCGCGGACCTGCCGGCTGGCTGCTGAGGCTGGAGGGCTCCAGCTGGGGCGGGGGGCTCCCGCCTCACCCCACTCACCGGGACCTCGAGGTCCGGTGCCGCTAGGCGCGGGCAGCGCCCCGGCTGCCCCACGGGCCGGTGCTGCGGGCTCAGACAGCGCTCGGAGCCCGGCCGAGGGTGGGAAGGGGCAGGAGGAGGGGCTGCGGTCGCGCTGCCCGCCCCCCAAAACGCGGGCGTCACGCTGAGCCATGCGGCTCAGGCTGCTGTGTAATAAAATCTGGGAGGACTGTTCCGTCCTGGCTGTGCCCCTTTCCTTGTCCATCTCCGTGGAGGACACTGTGGGAAGCGGCCCCGGGTGGAAGGAGGGTCTGCCCCCCGCAGCTCCTGAGCCTTCTCTCGGATTACAGTGGCAGTACCACAGGTGCCACCGCGGTGATGTCCCCGCGGGAATGGGACCTCTGTCCCACCCGCTGCGGGAGCATTGCTGTGGGGCCGCTGCACTGGGCTGCCTGGCGGGGCGCGGGGGTCTGGGGGTGTCCCGGGGACTCCGGAAAGCTGTGGGGGACACGTCTGCCTCCCTGGGGGGCGGAGCCGGGAGCACTGACCCTCCCAAATGCCTTCGGTAGCGGGTGCTTAGGCCCGGAGTCGGTTTTGGGGGGCTGCGTGGGGTGCCTGGTCCACCCCGTGAGGGGCTGCGGGCGAGAGGACGGCAGTGGATCGTCACAGGTGTCACCGCTGGCTCAGGTCCCGACACGCTCACGCTGTCCCAAACCGCCGGGGCACAACGTGGGTGAGCTGTCCCACGGGAACACCAGCGAGGACCGGGAAGGAGCCGGTCATCCTCCCCCGTGCGTCCCGACACGAGCGCGGTGTCCTCGAGCAGGGTGTCCCCCGACACAAGCGTGATGTCCCCAAGCTTGGTGTCCTCGAGCAGGGTGTCCCGAGCGCAGTGTCCTCGATCGCGGTGTCCCCGAGCGAGGTGTCCCCGATCTCGGTGTTCCCCAGCGCGATGTCCCCGAGCTGGGTGTCCCCGATCATGGTGTCCCTGAGTGGGATGTCCCGATGGCGGTGTCTTCGAGCGGGGTGTCCCCGATCGCGGTGTCCCGATCGCGTTGTCCCCCTCGGATCCCTCTCGCCCTCCCCGTCACCCCGCAGGCGGCGCTGGTCCTCCCGGCCGCTAGGGGGCGCCGCCCGCCGCCGTTGCCGCGCTGTGCGGAGGCGGGGCGGGCCGGAAGCGCGGCCCTTTCCCGGCGGAGCGCAGCCATGGTGAGATCGCGGCGCGGCCGCTCCCCGCCCTCATCCGCCGCCATCCGCTGCTCCCCGCGGGCCGCGGCCGCCCCAGCCCGGGGCAAGAGGCGCGGGAGGGAGCCCCGCGCCGGGGCTCGGGGGGCGGGAGGCTGAGGGGGTCGGGGAGGGGCGGCTGGGAGGGCCCCGCGATGGCGGCGGCCCGTAGTGCATCACCCCGTAACACGTCCCGTCCTGTAGGCTCGCGGCCCCAAGAAGCATCTGAAGCGCGTGGCTGCGCCCAAGCACTGGATGCTGGACAAGCTGACGGGCGTCTTCGTGAGTGCGGGACGGGGTCGGGGTTGGGGTCGCATCAGGGGAGGTGCTCGGTCGCTGGTGAGCTTGGGCAGTTGGGCAGCTCGGGGGCTGTTCGCTGTTAGGGGCTTTGTGAACAGCATTCGTGTTTCCCCTGTTCGAAGAGGATGCGGTGGTGGGGTCGTCGGCTGCTCTCTTTTAACTTGCCTGTTGCGCTTTCCCGTCGCTGGGGTGACATAAGTGGTTGTGCTGTGTCGGGGGCAGCTCTGTGAGGCCGGCAGGACACGGGGGAAGCTGCTGCGAATGCCAAGAACAGGAAGCTGTGTCCGGTTGCTGCCTGTGTGGCAGCTGCACTCTGGACCTCTGCCCTCGGGTTCCTCCTCTGGGGGTGGTCGGTGCTGCTCGAGCCCCCAGCAGAGGGTTTCTGCCCGCAGGCACCCCGTCCATCAACAGGCCCTCACAAGCTGAGGGAGTGCCTTCCCCTCATCATCTTCCTGCGCAACCGGCTGAAGTATGCCCTGACAGGGGACGAGGTGAAGAAGATCTGCATGCAGAGGTTCATCAAGATCGATGGCAAAGTCCGCACGGACATCACCTACCCTGCAGGCTTCATGGGTGAGCGGGGCTGGGGCAGGACCTGGGGCAGCTCTGCACTGGCGGGGGGAATGTTTTATCGGGCTGACATGATTTGGAGGGGAAAGGTATTTCCCCGGTGGAGGTGAAGAAAAAATATGTATAAGCAGTTGTTATTTAGTTTGGAGTTGTGCACTGCAATGACTGCCAAAGCCAGATACCTCTAGGCTGTAACTGCATGCTTGAGCTGTGTAAATTGCTGTTCAGATCCCACCACTGGGCAGTTTTTGCTAATTTGCAGTCTTATCACAGCAAAGGATGTGAGCCTGTGGTCAGGGGGAGATCCCAACCTTGTCATTCACATCCGAAGCGTTTTTCAGCAGTCCCTGGCTCTTTTTAAACGCGAGTTAAAAGTCTTGGGTGATGAGCTGATTTATTTCCCTCTCTGCAATCAGATGTCATCAGCATCGAGAAGACAGGCGAGCATTTCCGCCTGGTGTATGACACCAAGGGCCGGTTTGCTGTTCACCGCATCACAGCTGAGGAGGCCAAGGTGAGGGGCTTGGTGTGAGTGTGGGCCCAGTTGGGTTTGGTTGGGGCAGGGCTTCCTCTTTGGCGTCTCCTGAAAGAGAGCTGTTGTCTCTTCCCTGACAGCTGAGGCTGTGCTGCACTTGAGAAGATTGGGGCCTTCAGGGTTGGGGTGAAGCCGCTGGCGGGGGGAGGTCTCTTGGTGACACGAGAGCAGCTCCCAGATGGCTGCAGGTGCATTGTCTGGTGCTGGAGATGATGCTGCTGGCATGGACCAGGTCACCTGCACAGGGAGCTTTGGGGCAGGAGTGAGCCTTGGCTTTGCTAGCTAACAGTGATCAGAAACATGAAACTGCCTGTGGTGTAAAAGCCTTGAAATCTTTCTTAGGTCAGTTATGGAAGTCTTAATAAAACTGCCTTCTCACCCTGGGTGCTGGGGAGCAACTCCTGCATGTGTCTCCTTAACCCAGGCATGTTGTTGTGCCTGAGCTGTGAGTCTGCTCTGCTTCCTTGGGGCAGACCGTGCAGGCACATGACAATGTGGAGAGCAGAGCTGGTTGTGCTAGAGCTGCCTGTGGTGTGGTTTGGGACCTCTGCACCCCCTGTGATGTGCTTTTGCCTGTGACTGCCACTCTGTGTTGGCCCATGAGTGGCTGTGAGGGAGTTGGGGGTGACAGGCAGCAGGGAAATCAGAGTGCCCTGGAGGAGAGAATACAGAGCTCTCTTGGGCACTGGAGAAATGCAGGCTCTGTTGTGTGCCCACAGGCTTCAGGGTAAAATGAGGGACCTGCCCTGGCGAAGGCTTTCCCCGGGAAAGTGCAGCCAGTGTTTGTGCAGAGGCTGAAGCCCAAGGTGGGCAGCTGCTCCCACAGCAGAGGTGTTTTCTGGTGGAGCTGTAGCAAAGCTGCAGTGGCAGCTGTTGGAGAGGCATTACTTGGGCAGGGAGCTGGGCAAGTCGCTGCCTGGACTCGTGTTGTGAGCCCTGCAGTGTCTGTGTGTCCTGCTGTGGCTGGTGGCTCTCTGGGGGACAAGAGCCCCCTGGTCCATTTGCTGCTGAGCTGCCTCAGCTGAGCAGTGCTGGGTTTTGTTTGCAGTACAAGCTGTGCAAGGTGAGGAAGATCTTCGTGGGCACCAAAGGAATCCCTCACCTGGTCACCCACGATGCCCGCACTATCCGCTATCCTGACCCCCTCATCAAGGTGAACGACACGGTCCAGATTGACCTGGAGACGGGCAAGATCACAGACTTCATCAAGTTTGACACAGGTAGGTCTTGCATCCCATGTGAAGCGCTGTACCCATCCCCAGTATGGAGAGCAGTGTGGAGGTTAACACATGCCAGGCATATCTGCTCTAAAGTACAGAGGCAATGGTGTCAGCTTTGGGAAAGGGGTTGTTTCCCAAGGGCATCTCCACCTGGAGCTGGAGCAGGGATTCCTCCTGTGTGCTGGCAGTGGGAGGTGTTGGTGTAGGGACTTGGGGTGTTCTGAGGCACCAGGGAGAAGCAGCCAGCTGGCAGGGAGGTGCTTGAGCCTGGCGCTTGTGGGGCTGTGCGTGACAAGCTCTGGGCAGCCATAGGGACAGTCCTGTCTCTTTGTGGTGGCAGAAGGTTTCAGTCACAGAGCTGTGGGCAGTGCCAGCATGAGTGGGATGGGAATGCCTCCTTGGTGCTGTCAGAACTGAGAAGGTGGTGGGAAATGTTTGATATGGGCCGAGAGCCCAGGTGGGAAGGGCTTCTCCCACAGCATCTGGTGCCAGTTCTTGTTACACTTGTGTTCCCTCACCCAGGGAACCTGTGCATGGTGACTGGTGGTGCCAACTTGGGCCGTATTGGGGTGATCACCAACCGGGAGAGACACCCCGGGTCGTTTGACGTGGTCCATGTGAAAGACGCCAATGGCAACAGCTTTGCCACCAGGCTCTCCAACATCTTCGTTATTGGCAAGGTAAGCCCGTGGGGACACCAGCTGGGGAGTTCTCTCCTGTTGTGAGGGGCTGCTGGCTGAGGCAGAGAGCCTTGGTGTCTTCTTAGGCAGCTGCCTTCCCACACAGTGAAGCTCCAGTGCTGGCCTCAGTTCTGGCTCATCTCCTTGTATTTCTGCCTGTTCTGTGAAGGGGAAGCATCTGCAAATTTATGAATGGAGACATTTTCAAGAAGCAGCCCTGTGGTTTTTGAAACCTGAGAGCTGGGGGGCTGAGGAGTGCTCAGACCTTGGTATGACCTGGGCAGCTGCCCTGACTGAGTGCCCCTCCAGTGCCTCTGCTGTTTTGCCATCCCTGATGGACTCTTTGTCCAGGTTGGAGAGGGACAGCATTTCGGTTTTGGCTGAAGTGCATCCTTCATGGATGTGACTGAAGGAGGCAGCTGTAAACCTGTGCATCTTTCACACCTTCCTAATTGGCTTCTGCTGGGCCAGTGCCACAGCCGTGTGTAGCTGGCCCAGCATGGGCAGTGGTAGGCTTCTGCTGCTTTCCCCCTGAGAGGGAGAACTCTGCTGCTATCCACGTTTCCTGGTGTGACGTGGCTTCTTTCTCCCTTGCTGCAGGGCAACAAGCCATGGATCTCCCTGCCCCGTGGAAAGGGCATCCGCCTGACCATTGCCGAAGAGAGAGACAAGAGACTGGCGGCCAAGCAGAGCAGCGGGTGAAGTCCAGC